AAGAGACGTGCAAGGACGTTCGATAGGAAGGGGACCAGAAACAGCAAGGGCACGCGAGCAGCAGCACTGAATGGAGAACAGCGACGACTGAGGTCAAGGCAGGATAAATAAGCCGAAGCGGTTCTAGGCCGTTGAAATGGACTCTGGAGGTCGGAGCAAACAATCGTTGATTGCGCATGATTCTGTATCTATGTATTGATGTTCTTTGCACCCCGGCGTTGTGTGTGGAACCTACAGGCTCTCGTTACAGTAATTGCAATTTGAATACTTTATTTATCGGGAAAGACCCTTGGTGGCTATCGTGAAGGATTCTACACGATACTTATCATTTGACAAAGCAAGGCAGATTGTTCAGATGAGAGACAAATTTGGCTATGTAGGATAGGTATCTTGTCACGTTGAATTCACCTACCCCCACATGACACCCAGTCCACGTCCGTCGTCCGCGTCGTCCTCATCCTCCAGGCATGAATGCCTTCACCCGTCAAACATATACCCAAATGCACATTACCAGACACGACTCGTCCGCCAAATCCCCGGCTCCTAAACGCACTTTCTCAGCGACTTCGCGGGCATTACATTATCATGCACTGTCACATGCATCAGCTGCAGCGCCTGCAGGGCCCGGTCTCTTGGTCTTCCTCCTCCTCTTTGTGCCCTCCATTCAAGATCCATGATAGGGATAATCTCAATGATGGGACCCGCCATCATCATGGAGACCACAATGATCCAGTAGAATGACCAGAGAAGCCTACAACAGTGTAAGAACAAGCCGGAATCAACAACAACACCTGACCCCTTTCTGACATCCGCTCTAGGTGGAGAGACCAGGCAGCTCATATCGCCGTCGGCATTAACCCCTCAGTGTCTAGCTGCTCAGGATCGGGTCATGACCTTCCTGGACGAGGTTCTCCAGACACCGCAGGATGGCTGTCAGCCAACCGACACTAGATGTGCGAAATCTCCGGTACAGCCGAGGCACGGTGCAGTTCTCGCTTTCAAAGACTCTGACGAGTCCGGGCTGTGGTACTGGGTCGACTTGGGCCCCCAGCAACTGGCCCCTCATGGAAGACACGACGGGCCCTCGCGATGCCGTCAAATACCAGCTTGATCGCAGCAGGCACAGTTTCGAGAAAAGCCCGGCGGCATCGGCATCGGCATCGGCATCGGCCACAGCAGCCTCAAGCGACCATGACGCCTTCTTCGCGCAACCTCGGCCAGCGGTGGTCATACCGATTGGGCAGCTATGTGTCTCCTCCAACCCGAGTCTGGCTGCCCCCTGTGAGAGTACCGGCTACGTTGTCGCCGTCCACGCGATGCGATGGCGACTGGGTCATTCCACGACTCGCCTCTTTGGATCCTCTACAACCATGACGAGCGACGAGCAATGTCATGCGAGCAAAAGAAATTTGTCTATTGGCTAAAGAAATACGGCCCCTATGCTGTGAATCCGAATGACACGCCCGACTACAAGAATCCCAAAATCAGGCCGCACCGGGCCGGCCCGTTTTACGACGCAGCCTGTATCATGACGTCGTACCGCCAGCTCGGAAAGGCGAGTCTGGTCGAGGTAGAGCTGCTGGTACGCAATAGCCGTTGCACCAGCGACCCGCGGCTCAAACCGATCCCGATCGAGTTTTGGATGAGACAAGAGAGGCGTCACATTCATCGAGGGAGAGTTGCTATGGGACAGGTTCATGTGACGCCGTGGACAGTCTGCTACTTCTCTTGTTGGGCTTGCGATCCACAACGGATTGTGAGGAAATTCTGGCCTCAGGGGGCGGATACGGACGCCGGAACGCGAGTGAGTGTCAAAATTAATTGTTCCGGAAAATCAGTACTTTCCCCTCAAGTACCCCTCAGATTTTAGTCACTATATTTATAGAGCTTTCATCACTATAAATTATAGAGCTCCTACCACTATAGCTGTAGGGCTCCTACCACTATAGTTACAGGCCTCCTACCACTGTAGCTGTAGGACTCCTACCACTGTAGTTACAGGGCTCTTACCACTGTAGCTGTAGGGCTCCTACTACTGTAGCTGTAGGGTTAGGGTTAGGGTTATGTAGTGCAGCACTCAGGTAGCTGCTGTAGGTGCTGTAGATACTGTAAGTAGGTACTAGTTAGGTACTTGAATTATAACTTATAGGTCTAAATTTCTGGGGAAAAAAAAAAGTTGAAGAATTGAAAAGAGCCAGTCGGCCCTATAGGCCTCCGTAACTTATCCCGATTGTTTGTGCGTTCTCACCATCACCAACCACTCAGATGGAATCCCATTTGGCATCACGTCGTAGCGCATTCGCCGCCATCACACTTGAGTCAGACGGACCTCAATCTTCACAACGCGCCGAATCACCAGCGGAAGTTGGAGAGTTTCCACAAGTGCTTGTTCACCTCAATAGTCGGCTACGAGAGTCCTTGGGGATCTTGGAAGGAGTTACAGAGTTTGCGCCATTGGTTTCTGCACTAACAAGATTGGCTATCGTATTTTCTGAGAGGTCAGGCGGAAGGGGACCTACCTTGCTCATTGTCCCGATGGTAGATATCGTGGAATTCATCCGATGTTAGCAGCACCTCGGCTGAGGTTAGCTGCTGATCAAGCCACGCCCAAACTCGCTCGGCTGCAGCGTAAGCAGCCTACAGTACAGCTGTTGTAATCGTGGTGGGTTTGAAAGATTGAAAGACTCTGAGCAATAAACATACCAGCAGATATGGATGGGCGGGTTTTTAGAGCCAGACCTGTGGCTTCCCATCGCCGCAGGCATTGGCGCCGCGAAAATAAAAGCCATTCTTGTGGCTTTCCGTCGCATCGAGGCGATTTAGACTGCCCAATTTTGAAATCTCCTGTCTGCCAGAAACAGCAGTCCAAACCACGATACATGCCGTCTCTTTGGAGCATCCCTCCTGGCCCTCGTTGCCCCTCCTCAGCTGATACGGGGGTTGCTTTCGAGCGTTCTAGAAGTAGCGTCAACGTCTAAGTCGTTCACAGCGCCATTCGGGGCATAGGATGGTGTGGTCGCTGATTTTAACCCTCAAATAACCATCCGACAAACTCAGTATTGTGTATGTGTTTTCTTCAGCCTCGTTGGGCCGAAGTACTCGGTATCTGATTTTCTCGGTACATATGTCTCGGTGGTAGGACTCTGCCACAAATCCTCGTCTTGGTAAATAATCTCCTATATGCTGGTCTCTGTATGGTGTATATGCGTGTATACGGCCGGCCTTCCAAAATGCACATCCTCCTCAATTGAATCAACAGGTCTCTGCGCTCGACGATGGTTGGCGATGGGTCGAGGCGCTACACAGAGTTTAAGCCCATGGTCGGTTCAACAGCCACAGCACCTAGATCGTTGTCATCGTCGTGAGCACCGGGCCTGATACGACCAATTATTGTGCGTCGTGGCTATGGCGCAGATAGCTCAAAATCCTGGTCCTGTCAATTTCAATCAATTCGGCTGCCACACTCGGAAGACCACACCGCACACCGCACACTGTCGATAAGAGAGTAATAACATTACTTTCCTCCTTCAAGTATACTCGTGACTAAGTACCCTCAAAGAGGGCAGACTCAGTATTATCTTCCTCCAACAATTCGGTGAAAGTTTGGTGGACCTACAAGACCAATGGCTTGATTCTCCCTTTCTAAACGCTGAGTTGCCTTTCGCTTTGCTTTGGCATGTCTTTTCAGCCAGTAGGTTCCGTCCAATCTTACGAGTGTCCGCGTACCCAAAGATCTGCCTCAGAAACAACGTTTCGTCTCGGAGTAGACCTACGTGCATTGGCTTATCTTCCATGATGCTCGTTGATTGCGTCTGTGCTGATGCCATCGGTTGCAAAGCGAAAGTGGCTCAGTAGGCCGTGACCAGTTTGTAGATTATTCGGCAGGTTCAGCCAAGGCTTGGAGCGTTAGAGCTACCGTCCTCCTCGTTGCTTCCTGGCACTTCAAGGTCCATGCTGACTGAGCCAGTAGGATGGGGGGATCTAAGAAGGAGAAAGAAGAGTGCAAGAAGGCGCTCAGAGTTGTTCGTCCTTCCTTCCTTATAATGGGGAAGATAGAGTAACGAAATGAATGGCTCCAGCTATCTTGTGATAGATAGGTTTCGTGATTTGGGGGACGTTGGATGGTGACGCTGGTGCAAGCGTATCTCGTGCCACTCAAGGCTTCATGCCTGGCATCAAAGCAGTCGAGGTTATGGCTTGAGTGTGCAGTGAATCTTATAAAAGGGTGTCTAGGTTTAAAAAAAGAGACTGGAAACATACATTTGACAGTCTGATTGATTTCCCTTAGTCTTATTGATATATGAGGACTGGAATTAGTGACCACTTGGTATCTGGGCAGTGGAGTTCTGTTTAGGGTGGGCTTCGTTTGTATGGATAGGGCACATTATTAGAGGGGAAACGCTGACCGGTCGGGTCTAACTCATGCTGTGGGGGTTCTGAGTACCTCTTATTAGGAGAAAGGTTCCAGTGGGGTTCGAGTCCCTGTTCTGTCTACCAATTTTTTTGTTAGTGAGGGACATCTCACCAGGATACAGCTCCCGCAAGGCCGAGGCGTATTTGGTGACAGGACAAGCTGGTCGCGGTTTTTCCGGCCAGCCATTCTTCTCGCCTACTCACCGAGCCATTCCTCGCTATCGCCGTGATGGTATCCAGGAGAAGTGTCGATCAAGTTACCACCGGCACTATAATCCATTTGACTGGCTCCCAAAATGTAGCTAGCTGTCTCTATCTTATTAGGGCTGCGGGAGAGCTTCCTTTTCTAGATATAGGCGAATGCGTTGTTCCCATCGACAATCGCCTTCCCCCTCCGGCGGCTCCTTTTCACAAGGCCGTGTCGCGCCAACCTAAGCCTCAGCCACGATACAGCAGGTGTATGTAGGGCATGTATAATCGACGGCAAGTGGGCGGTGGGGGTTTCATCAAATCCTATACCCGGCGCCGTGTCCAAGCGAGCTGGAAAGACAAGAACCAAAAGCATGCATACCACCTTTTCACCTTCCTCAAACAATGACAAGCCCGAATCCCTTCTCTCCAAACCTGGCACTGAGGGCCAAGTGCATGCTGGCCAGCACGACGTCGATGGGCGTATAGAGTGAAACCCCCTTAAGATCCACACCCGGTTTGTGGAAGGACATGGCAATCTCGCTTGGGCCATGGTCATCGTTATCGCGGCGGCGCTCGTCGTGGTCATCGAGGGGCCAGGCTTGAGCCAGGTCGCGGCCAGAGACTGTCCGGAAGCCACCGAACAGCAGTCCGACAGGCTGGAACCGCGTGTTATAAATCAGGGCGCCGGAGTCGCCATGGTGGGCGAAGTGGGCGTCGGAGTTGCAGTCGGCTGGGGCGACGGGCATGACGGCGTGCTCCATCACCGTGGTGACCTCCTCGCCCATCGCCTTAGCACCCTGACCTGTCGGGGGCCAAGTCCATCTAGTATGGCGGGTCAGGACTTCGGTTCCGTTCAAGCGGCCCAGTGTAACGCCTGTGGTGCGGCCAACCTTGAAGACGAGACTGTGTGTGTGCTCGGCGGTCAGGTGCAGTTCCCCCTGCATGTGGCCAAGCGTGTCGCGGACATGCTGGGCTGGGAACTGCGCAATTTGGACTAGGTCAGCATGTATATCATGAACTTGTTGAAGAAGATGGGGTGGCATGAGGAGGAGAGGGGATAGATGGAGGTGTAGAACGGAATAGAGCGACCAAGCGGGCCAACAAGAGTGCCCTTCTGTTTGTTTGCTTGTTTGTGTCTCCCTCTCTAGTCTTTCCTCCTCTTGCGTGTCGAGGGAAGGGTGTTGGTGCTTTAAGAAAGAAGAAAAACCCACATTCGTAACGTGAGACAAGTCGTCTGGAAGCCGGGCGGCATCAACCTTGACCAGACCCCAGTCAAGACACGAGTGGTGCAGCAAGCCATCTCTACTGCTATATCTGGAATAGCCCGACGTGCAAATAACGGAGCCAAAGGCGCGTGTCGTAGCGCACGCAGTAGCCAGCCGACGGCGTTCTGATAGAAGATCTTCCTCAAGACCGGCTCTTGCAGGGTCCAGGAGAGGGAATGCGCAATTGTTACCCTTCGTATCTACGATACAGCCCTCCAAGTAACGTATACGCTCCTGAAGAGTAGCGATCCAGAGGGCTGAGTCTTTGACAGAAGGATGCTCGACCAGAGGTTGCTTCTCGACACAGACTTTGAGCTCGTCGAAACGATCTAGATCGGTATCGCCACAGGGTCAGTATCCGGCCGAACAAGACCGCTAGAGCCTCTCAAGAAGGGGTTCCAAGACCTTACCTGGGTAGAGGACATGATGGCAGGTCACGGCGAGAATCTCCGCCTCCTGTGTACTGTCGCAGTGCAACAATTCAAGTTTCAGATAGCATCCTAGAGTGCCTGTCTGGGCCGACAGTGCTGGGCCGATACTTGTTCCTGGGAGTGGATGATCGAGGTATGTGTCCTCGAAGCTGATGCCCTGACCTGTCGTGAAGCGCTTGCCTGAGCGGAGATGACGCGTGGAAGCCTCAGAGGTAACAGTATAAGTAGTAGCAGCAGAAGCACCCGTAATAGAAGCAGTAGATTGGTTGCCTTCGTAAAGAACGTGTTCACCCTCAACGAGTTCTACAGCAACTGAGTCGAGGCAGTTGTACCTAAGAGTGGTTATGTGTGTCAGAAATTTGTGGCAAAGCCTGTGTCAGAAGGCAGCCGAGTAAATGAGGGATGATAAGGGAAAGAGGAATACTGGGCAAATAGAGGAGAAACGGAACAGTAAACATACGTCTTTAGCAGGAGACAGATCTCGACGACAACCTCACGTGCCGAGGCCACGGAGAGTGAGCCCGGACGCACAGCAACGACGATCGTCAGAAGATCTTGGTCATTGAGACGGTACAAGCCGACGATACGAAAGAGGCCGACCAAGATAAACGCAATACCCTTGGCATCGAAGAGGTCGGACAGCCTACGCGGGGGGGCGTCTTCCTCTGAACAGTTGTTCCAGGTCGCGACAAAGGGGTGGCTGCCGGGAGCGGCGGCGGCGAGGCTAGGCGGCGAGGCCGAGGCGAAGGTAGAGCCCAGAGGGACAGCGCCAGCAGCGGCTGGAACCGAGGCGGCCGGCAGGTAGCGTGCAACGAGGCCGAATGTGTCGGAGGCGCCGATGCGATTGATGAAGTAGAGACCGGGCTCGTCGGAGGCGGGGATGTCCTACACCGCGCGCGTCTCCGACTCCGTCTCCATCTCCGTCTGCAATTTCTTCTCCTTCTCCTCCGGTGCCGCTAGCGCATCATGGAGTGGCGACGCCATGCTGCTCTCGCTTTCGCCCGCGCCTGCGCCTTGCTTGGCCTGCGGACGAGGAAATGGTGAAACGACGCGTCTGAAAGGGAGCTCGAGCACGAACTCGAGTCTGCTGAGATGGAGTCCGGTTTCGAGTCCGAGTCCGTGTCCGAGGCCAGATGTAGAATGCTTGACGAGAACGAGTGAGGGCGGGCAGACAAGGGCTTTCTTCCTGCCACCGGAATTGTCCTTGAGCTTCTTGATGTCTCTCATCTTGTCAGCCAAAGCAGCAGGTGAATGACATTCTTACAGTAGGAGCGAGGAGCTGATAGGGGTCCGAGCGTCCTCTTAGCGCCACGCTAAGCAATCTGGTAGGCCAAAGTCGTGAATAAGCGTGACAGTGCATGCATTTTGGGGAGTCCAGCCAGTCAAGTAACATGACCAAGCACACAGCGCAATCGAGTACATAGCACCAAAGTCTCCCACTTAGTCAGCTCTACAGCCCATATCCATGTCCAGGTCAGAAATGCATCATCCGTAGAGAGCGCTCTCTCCTAGACGTCGCCAACACCATCGCTCGCGCCATGTTACACGCTGTCCTTCGTCCTTCTCCAAGTCCATGATCGAGCTCAACGTCTCGCAGAACCACGGCAGAACCAGTGGGTCTTGGTCTTGCTCGTGTTTGATTGTCTCAAGCGGACGGCGAGTTTGGTCGACTTGGTGCAGACCAAGGCCCACATCAAGCAGGTCAATTGCTGTGTGCCTACTTAAAGCCTTATATTACTTTTGAGATGTATATTAGTAGAATAATTAGACTAACTAATTAAAGTAGAATTTTGAAAAGTATGTGCCAAACGATACTAGTACTATACTAAGGTATTTGGCATGGCGCTGAGGAATTTTTGGACCAATCATATTATACGATTATAAACATACAGCACAAATAGCAACTGTCTCTTGAAATGATGCTTCTCCCTCTTCTGATTGATCCGCATGTCCCGGAGAAGGCGCGGACGAGTGCGCGCCTCTCTGCTTGCCAAAGACAGCGCTCGGACTTGCCGTGCGACGACGATGAATGCTAAGGGATTCGTTCTCGGTGTATTAAGCCATATAGAATTCAACTTGACTCATTTAGCCATCCAGCTCCCACGTTTCTTTAATGTAGTTAGAGGAAAGGCTGCGCAACATGAAGCTAATCGCCGCTCTATTGTTTGATTTTGTCTACCATATAGTTGTTGTGTAGGTGGGATTTCTTACCGATCGAGGGCCCGCGAGTCGAATAATTGTGCTGCCTTCTAAATTGGCAATGGCCCTCTATTCGCCACTGGGGTGCTCTATTCATTTACCAAAATGAAATGGCCGATATATGAGCCGAAAGCATGCTAGTATCTACCCAGACAAGATGATCTTGAACCTTTGTAGTTTTGTTGCTAGTCATGTGTATTAATAGGATATACAATGAATGCTCTTTTACTCATATTACGCTATCAGAGTTAATTAGATGCGTTCGGCTAGTTTCCCAGTCATGAACTACTTTCGTATAGATACAACAAATATTTCATGTCTCTAAGCAGTTACTTGCGAACATCTTTCAATCTTGTCTCGCTGGATCAAGCTCAATTGTACCAACAATCTCATCAATCTCCGCCATGATCTCTGGGGTAAGCCTGCCAATGACTTCCAAAGCCTTGCAATTCTCCGCAATCTGCTCCGGCCTTGAAGCGCCCGTGATAACCGAAGAGACGTGTGGGTTTTTCAAACACCAGGCTAGAGCGAGTTGAGACTGTGTAATGCTTAGTTTGTCCGCAATGGGCTACAGTTCGCTCGGTCAGTAAGTTGCTCCACTGTGTTTGAAAAATAAGGAAGGAAACGACCGATTCAACGCACTTTCAGCTTCACGACTTTCCTAATATTCTCCTTCCATGTATCGTTCCAATACGCACCCTTCATTTTCCCTACTTCATTGGCAAATCTCGAGCCAACCGGGGGCTTGTCAGTGCTCTCATTGTACTTGCCGCTTAGAAGTCCAAAATACAACGGACTGAATGTAGTCAAGCCGAGTCCGACCCGGTCATACAAGCGCTGGAACTCTCCCTCGACTTTTTTTCTCGAGAGCAGGTTATACATAGGCTGCTCGACTACTGGAGGAATCAAGCCTAGCGACTTGGCAATGCCGCAGGCTTCGGCAATCTCATCCGCAGACCACTCGCTTGTGCCCCAATACATGGCCCAGCCCTTGATCTCGATGACGTGGTTGAAGGCGCGCACGGTCTCCTCCATCGGAGTCAAACGGTCTGGGCGATGGGCGTAGACAATGTCGACATACTCGAGGTCGAGACGTTGCAAGGCGTTACGAAGGCCTTCGATGATGTGTTTACGGGACAGGCCGTGGTTGTTGATGAGGACCTCGCCATATGCGCCACCCCAGTTCAGCTGAAAATGGCACATCATGAGACTCTGTGATCAAATCTACAGACCAGGCGCGGAGGCAGAGGAACTTTACCTTTGTGGTCACCACAATGTCGTTTCTTTTCCAGCCAAGAGTCTTGATGGCCCGACCCATCACAATCTCAGATTGGCCATCCGCATAGCTGGAGACACGTAAGCTGGTTGATCGGCTTATATAGTTAGAGGGCTACAGTGTAGATACTTTTCAGCAGTATCAAAGAAGTTGATGCCGGAGTCGTAAGCCTTCTTCATGCAGGCAACCGTGAGATCTTGAACATGACACCTAGATTAGCATTTTACCGTGAAGTGTCGCTTCCACTCATCTCCGTGGTGTCATACCGTTGTCTACATGACCACCGAATCTGGTTTAGCTTTTGTTAGTTATGAGATCGCAAGTTCACAAAGAAAAGGATCCATTTGGTTGCTTATTGTATAGCCGGGGTCGCAACGTACGTGAGCCATCCTCCTAGACCCAATACAGAAACGTGCAGACCTGAGTTCCCCAGCCGCCTGTAGAGCATGCCGGTCTTACGTGGTTCTTCCCAAGCCATCTTTACAAGATTCCTAATCAGATAGCACTTGGTTCGACGTGATCGCTGGTTTTCCGGATGCAAGAAGTAAATGTACTTGGAAGTGGGAATGGTGGAGAGGTGAGGATAAAAAGCTAAATTTCCTATTTGCGGAAGACACCGAAGCTCGCTAGTGGAAAATCCAAGGATTGTGGGCCGTCGCCACTCGGCAATGCTCCGCTTAATCAGTAAAACGTGCGGAATCCCCCCACTGCGGAGTTATTTTCGGACTCTCACACCCAGCCGTTTTTAACCAAGATGATGATTCGGAGGAACGAAGACCACATACGGAGTACAATGAACCTGACTGACAGGTATATATAAACGGGACCAGGCTGACTGACTAGGAATATCTACAAATATATCTATGCATAGGAATTCTTCGGCTCGATTCCTATATTGGCTTGGGACTCGCTTACAGGCCTAACAACAGATTCTCATCTCCTGTCACACCCCACAAATCCCCATTCTGTGCCATCAAAGGGTCAGACTGCTGATCCATGGCACCGTCCGCTCGCGGATTAATTGAATGAGGATCGCCTCCACCTGCGGTCACTCCCGCTGGCGCAAAGGCTCGGGCTGAACAGAGAACTTGGTGAGACCTCGCCTGATAATTGAAAGTTGGTGAAGTTATCGTCAAGGGCCATGGCAAACAAATTTGAGACGAGTGCTCCAAGGCAAGTAAATAGTCTTCTACTTTTCCCAATGACCCGGTATTAGTTCCTTGTTCATCACTGTTCATCATCTGCCAGTCTTCTTTCTCGACCACGGACGAAAATATCTTGCGTTTCAGGTTTCCTGGTGGAACCGGGACAATACTGTTGTCTGGCCCATCGCGACCTAGCTCGCTGATGTCTGCCATCTTGCCCCGTAGCAGATCTAACAGCGTTTGATTACCGCCACGGCGGCAAGAAGCCAACAGCCTTTGGAGTCCAAGAAGAACATACCCCGACACGGGGTGTATGACCTGAAGGCCGCTGCTGCTGAGGTCTAGGACGCTTCCACTTGTATCTGGAGTTATAGAGTCGATGACACTACACGCGATCTCGAAGATTTTGAATTCAATAGCTGGTCCATGGGCCTCGACGGCCGCTTCAGGAAGCCCAGCAATGAAAACCAGTAGATCTTTCGCAATATCCAGAGGCTGGTATACCATTGTTGAGCCTGCGTCGTCGATAGCCGGCTGACAGGGGTTTATACACCTCAGCATCTTCCACGTCACGGCCTGCATCCAGAGGCGCGTGATGCAGATGTCCGCCTTTTGAATATCGCTACTCGGCTCTGGCTCAAAAGACGGAGCTTGCAATTGTTGCAGGAGCAGTCTCAGACCTTGTTGAACGTGTGAGAGACTGCCACCCCCGTCGCAGTCGGAGCTTCCAGCGGCCTGCGCCCCCAAGTCCCCGATCAGATCAAAAATACCGGATTGATCGAACATCCAGAAAAGGTTAACCAATTGCCTAAAGGCTGGGAGGACATATAAGTCATTGCCAAAGACAGTGACATCCAGTAATGGAAAGGCTGGATTCCATTTCAGCACGAGCGGGAACTTGTGAAGCATCGCCACGCCGCGCTCGGTCACGAAGAGTAACCAGATGGCTCGCCGCCGTGCATGTTGTTCATTGATTGGTAATAGACTATATGATGATTCCCTATCCATGCCCATGATTTGGGCAATGGTGATCGCCTCTCGGAGATATAGGAGAGATCTAGGCCCTCCGGGGATCTGGTTCTCATGGTATATGTGAAGAAAAAAGGCCATTCTCAAGGTGTTCAAGCTCATCGATGGACCGGACGCTGACCTCTGAATCTGTGTTTTGATTTTCTCACACTGGGCCTCCATTGCGTTTGCCGTAGCTGTGTCGTGTGCTTCGGCAGATGCAACAGATTCCAGCCTTAGCTGTGCAATTGTGGCGGCGCCAATGGCATTTGCCAATGCATAAGACTCAAGATCCTCGGGTCTGTCATGTAGAGCGGCTATGAGATCGTCGACTGCAACAATGGGCCATACTGGGAAGAGCCTGGAACGATAGATCCACAGCCTGGCGACTAGTGCCTGGATGTGTTGTCGACTCTCTGCAGCGGCACGGTTTCCATTTGAGTTCTGGTCACGAGCTTCGGTAGTAGTGTCCTGTGGCTCACCGCCCGGTTGGACATGAGGTTGAGGCTGGAACTGGACCTCGTTGATCACCTGTATCGTCTTGTTTCGTAGCTGGCGCGGCCCTCGTTTCTTAGGTCGTTTATTAAAAGTACAGGATATGCCAACGTTGATGCATCGCACACATGGCGGTGTCTCGCTACATCTTACTTTTCGGATGGTACAACCATCGCACGCGCGCCGGCCGACCTTTCGCCGCTCCTTTCCTAGATTCTCTTGCTCAACCCCAGCTTCAGCACCGGACAGTTGAGACACCGACGGGTTGTCTTTCACTTGCTTCATTACAACTTCCTTGGCGTGAAATCATGCTCCGTGGCATTGTGGATGCGGTATGCGGTAAGAAAAGGTCTGCCTGCAATACTTAGGACTTCAAGTGTGAAGTGCGTGTGAGGGGACCCTTTATGATGGGAACGCACTAGTGCATGTACTCCAATGAGCTAGGGATGCGAACGATGTCGCCATCGAGACTAACGAGGCACCCTAGTCCCCATCACGGCACTACGCTTATCCCTCAATAGTAGTAGGGATGTCACGAGGGCATCTGGCTTAGTACACACATTCGATTTGACTTGTACTATATGTGGCTCCTTGTGGTAGTTCTCGAGGGCATGTGCACTCTCTATCAGATTAGAGAACGAGATCGAGGTAGACCATCTTTTCTACTCTTGCCGTACAGAATCAATCAGTACACGAACCGGAAATCTAGCCGTCTATTACCATCCAGCTCCCTCGCCGCCTTGTCGTTTTGATAAGCCGCCTTCTCGTCTGCCGACATGGCCTGCCAGATCTGCTCCTTTTTCTTATTCATGCGCATGAGCACCATTCTCTGGCTACCTAGCACGATGAGAGCCAACACGCAAATGGCGAGGCACACGGCATTGCCGTGCTTGTAGTAAGGGGCATCCCAAGACCGGTAGATCTGGCTACCTACGAGTGATCCGATTTGGACAATGACGTTGTACGTCGCAATCGTGATGGCGCGCTTCTTGACATCGAAGGTGTTTTCTGAGATCCACGAGGAGACGATAGGGTGGAAATAAGGGTCTGGAAGAACCAGCCAGGTCAGCTCATACTTTGTGATCTGAACATTTATGGTTGATTACTTGACTTACATCCAGAAATCAGAGTTACGAGAGAGAATCGTTCCCAAGAACGACCGCCATTCGGAAGCGAAAGGACTGCTACCAGCAGCGGCATGATCCAGAACTCGCCAAAAAAGCAATGAAGAGCCCTCTCGTTGAAGTAGTCGCTGCTGTACGCCAGGGCTAACATGGTAATGATCTGGAGTACAGCGGAAGGCACCGTGAGCATGTTTGCGGCAAGCTTAGTATAGCCTAGTTGTTTGAGTTGGTAGGTGAGATAGGCCTGCACTGGTGTTGCGGGAATATATGCCACAAGGCCGACGAAATACAAACCCCACATGGACGGGTCTTTCCATGCATTGAACAAATCCTGGAAGGTGGCGGGCTCCTTGATAGCTGTGAGGCCCTTGGCAGGATCATCACGAAGAATTCTCTATTGCACTTGTCAGTCAGTTCTTTGACCGACTGGGTCGTGGGAGGCAAACGTTGATCATGATGACTTCCTCTCGCTCAGTATACCACGACTTGCGCCATAAGAAACCCTTGGTGGCGGTCGGAGAGGATGGAAGATAGAGAAAAGACTTGTCAGATTTATTAGCTGTAATTTCCCAGAAAAGATCAAAAGCCGAGCATGTAGTGAAACTCACAACTATGGCAATGATTACAGTCAGGAGTCCTTCAAGCATGAAGAGCCAGAACCACCCCGGATGGCCATGAACGCCTCGCATTTGGAGGATACCAGCTGCCAACAGGGCCGAGATGACACGAGCCACATTAAGTGTCGACCAGAAGGCAGCTAACCTGACGGCCAGCTCCTTGCTGGTGTAGAAGTATGTTGCGAACAAGATGGTGCCTGGAATGAATCCCCCCTCGCAGAGCCCGATAAAAGCTCGGGTCAAGTAGAACGAGGTCCTATCATGCATGAATGCCTGTGCCCAAGATACCGTTCCCCAGCAGAACATCATGGTCGGGAGGATATACTTGAAACCATATCGCTTGGTAAGGAACTGTACAGGGAACTCGGCGGCTAGGAAACAGATGAGCTGAATTGTCGTACCGTTGTTGTAGTCGTCCGATGTCAAACCCAGATCTACCAACAAGTTGTCCGCGAGTGCATTGGATAGGTTTCCCCGATCCAGCTGCAACCCGAAAAACATCAGACAGAGCCATGTCAACAGGTAAAGATCTGTCTTCCTCACGACCTTACGCTCCTCAGCAGCAGTCCACGTGGCATTGGGGTTGAAGCGATGCCGGCCCTCGTACGACTCGTGCGGGGGGAGAGTATCAGAGAGATTCTCGCGCCCTACGAGACCAACCGAGAGATGTGATACGGAAGTGGCGACGTCCTTTCCGGCAGCTTCTTCGCTCGCCGTCTTCTGGCACGCAGCTTCGACGTCTGATGACATGCTCTGTGCGATCGAGAAGCCTCAGGATGAATCACCAGCGGCACGATTCTGGTTCATTAAGAGGCAGCAACCTGAGTACTTGGATGTAAGTGGTACGAGGGTAGAGGCATGATATTTATTCACTATAAATTACTAGGAGCATCTTGAACAGGCTCTTTTTCACTCCAACCGCCATGTTCCGGTTCCAGGGTCATGTTGTATTAGACATTGGCCGCCAGTAAGGCCGGGTTAGTAGTCTGGAACACTGGAACTTGATGGCGGATGGTGATGGTTTTGGCGGCTCCACATGGAAGGTCAACGGTCTTGTTCCCTTTTTGGCGGGTGTGGCCCGAATTCGTCATTTTGGCGCTTGTTGACGACACTCATTCTCCGAGATTTTCTCCGCCATCAAACCCCACAAACAAGTAGACTAAGCAGAGAGGCTCGCTAGCAAAGTGGCTCCAATTGCCAGTAGACAATTGTTATCAATGCGGTAGGTACAGTGGGTGGCAAAAAGTTTGAATCCAAAGTGAAGTAGCTAATTTCGAGTAAAGTCTTGGCAGCAGCCACCCTAAGCCTAATAGAGAATACCCTAACCCTAACCCCAACCCTAGTGTACTGAAAAGTTGAGGGTTAGGGTTAGGGGTATACTATTTTGAGCCTAGAGTGATTGTTGCCAAGACTTTACCCGAAATTAGCTACTTCACTTTGGATTCAAACTTTTTGCCACCCACTGTAGCTTTTTTCTACCCACTCGCCTCAAGCACGTCATTCTGTCAGCAACACCGTCGCCGAGTCTGCGTTTCCGGTATCACGTGGAGATGGAGCCATGCCACGCCCAATCCCCGATTCCAATTGATCGAATCGGACGAGCGAGCCAACTTACCTAGTGGTAATGTATTTAATCGTACCCGATACCCCAGTTAGATTTGCAGAGATACAGAGATAGTCAAGTCGTCACGGATTAATTCAAAGCCAAATGTTGTGTACTGAACAAATAAAAAGAAATCCATCCGCTTATAAATAGTGCTTTAATCAGACTTGGATTTTCCAATGCCGTCCTTTGACCCCGGTGTCGAGGCCATCAAGGATGGGCACATCTTCGGTGGCAATCCAGCTGCCCGAACTCGATGCATCAAGCCGCTCGCCTATTCCGGATCGCTCGACATCCACAAGTACATAGACTTGACACCTGTCATCGGAAGAGAATATGATGGCTTGCAAGTCAAAGACCTGCTTAAAGAAACCGATCAGGTGATAAGAGATCTTGCAGCCACAAGTACCGTATTCCAGAAAGCAGAGCCTTTGAGAAATCAAGAAAAAGGATGGAAATTGGGGACACGCGAGATTAATACTCTTCTAGTCTCTCAGAGAGGTGTTGTGATTTTGCGAGATCAAGATGTTACTCCCACGGAGATGAAAGAGTTCGCTTTGCGATTGACGGAACTTGCAGGCTGTGTAAGCTAATTCCAGGGAGAAGTGTAGTTTGACCTCACGAGCAATAACTAACGGGATTTTCTTCTAGCCTGAGTCTTCGGGGCTTCATGTCCATCCCCTTACAGAAGAAGGTTCCGAGCTTGGTGATCAAATCAGTGTCATCAGTAGCGAGAAACAGAAAAAGGGTGGCGGTCTCACGCATCAACTCTCTGATGTGAGCCGCTTTGCCAGCGTAGGCTGGCACACTGACATCAGCTTTGAACGTGTCCCATCCGACTACGCAATGCTCAAGATTCACGAATTACCACCGACTGGGGGTGATACTCTATGGGCAAGCGGCTACGAAATCTATGACCGGCTGTCACCTGCAATGCAGAAATTCCTTGAAGGACTCACGGCAACCCATGATGCCAGCTTCTTCCTCGATGAGGCAAGAAGGCTCGGAAACCCGCTCAGAGAAGGGCAAAGAGGTAGCCCATTGAATGTAGGGGCTGTCCTCAAAGCCGAGCATCCGGTGATCCGTACAAATCGTAAGTTCGCCTTAATAAACAGACCTCCATTTGTTTACAAACCCTCTGTTAGAAGAATACTAATTAATCAAACAGCGGTGACGGGTTGGAAGTCAGTTTACGTAAATAAAGGGTTCACGAAACGCATTAATGGGGTGACCAAGGATGAATCAGACATACTACTCAATTATCTCTTCAACCTGGTAACGCAAAATCATGACGCCCAAGTGCGCATTAAGTGGCGCGAGAATGATATGGCCATCTGGGATAACCGGAGCACATGGCACTGCGCGACTTACGACTATACAGAAACTCGCACAGGAGACAGGGTTTGTTCACTGGGTGAAGCGCCATATGTGGATGTGGCGAGTAAGAGTAGACGGGAGACTCTTGGAATTTAATGTCAAGCTGAATGAGGTTATGAGTGCTAATCCAGAACTACGGTTGTTTAAAATAAATCTGTTGCATTCGGGCTTTTTCTGTGACGCTGAACTCGTGTTTGCCTTCGGTCCTGCGGATTCTTCTTGCCGTGGCTATCTTCCTCCACGCCCACCTTGAGACTCGTAATCCATACCCGGCGCGATTTACCTCGTTGCAGCTACTTCATCCGACATGGCATCGCACATAACAGTGATGTTGCCTCACACCGACAGCAAGCCCGCTCCCCATGCAACAAGTCAAGTAATGATGCGGCAGGTCAAGCTGCTGGAAGAAGGACTGGTCGGGGGCGGATGGGCGTCGTGTTCCAACACGCCGCGTGTGGTTGTTATCTTAGTTTCCGAATCTCCAACTGAAGCAAATGACCTTGGCGACAGAAGAAATACTGACTCTTCGGGTTCTCGCAGCGGAAGTACATTGTTCGGACGGGACAAAGGAGAAGGAGATACAGCCATCTATTGACGAGGTGGTTGCCCTCAGAAGATGGGATGTTGAACAGAAGTTCAAGGCTTTCGAGAAGACGCGGAAGATGATGACGGAGGCACGGACAGGTAGTCTTAAGCAAGGCCGGCCGGGTGGCGCAGAACATGATGGAGAAGATGAGGAAGCCAAAGTGATTTGTGTGATATTGCTGCTGATATTGAAAAGGATGAAGAGGGCTACAATGACGAATTTCTCGAGGATCACGACGATGAAAGGAGTGAGTACGGGACCAAGGGCAGGCGGTTGAGACGGCGGAAGGAGAAGCAATGTGCATGCCTGACTCTAGCTGAGATAGCCGCGATGGTCACCGAGAGGGAGCGCAATCCTGAGCTAGACAAGTTGAAGAAGATGCTGGGACAGCATCCGTGACCTGCAGAATCACTGACTGGCTTGCTTCTGGCGAGTGGATAGCTGGTCATTGCAATTTGGGGAGATTGGTTGGGATTCGGCTTATATTAGCTCCTACAGCGTACGAGCTTAGATTTTACACATTCCCTCCTTTTACACCTACCGGAACCTTATACTTTCCTACAATCCTCTCCTCCAAGTCCTTCGTAAGCTTACGAAGAGCCTTCTCGATTTCCGACAATCGTTGACGTACCATTGTCTTATCTCTGTATCCTTCACTAGCTATATTCTCCTTGTGATCATCGAAACCACCACTATCGCCAGCCTTATCATCTGCATACGGGCCCGTCGATGACCATGCCCACGAACAGGCTGGTTTCATCGTCTCGAGATCTCGATGCACTCGGCTCAGATAGGGTAGCTCCTCCATAAGCCGCGGGATATCGACCTCCTTCAACATCTGGCGGATTGAGCCCTGCTTACCGTAGCCTGAGAGCACTATAGCGCTGCGGATCGCCTCGAACACTGCCTGCGCATCTTGCAGGTCAGCCAGAATTTCGTAGGCTGCTTCGGTCGTGGGCGGCGCACTGGGCCCCCTGCGCCTGTTGGCCCTCTGCCCGCTGATGCTGCTTTCTTTTTTCCCACATCGCCGGCGGTCTCCAAACCTGCCGTCTGAGCCAGAGTGTCCAGGTAACTCAGGTGTTTGTCGGCCTCGCGCACCCATCCCGCCACCTCGTCTTCTACGGCGTTCAGTACCTCGCGATCGTCATCTAGCCTGCCCAGGGCCTTTCTGCGCAGCACCAACCCGTCGTTGACGATCTTCTCGAGCGCCTTGACGCGGCGGTCGAGCAGCACTCGGCCTCTGTGACACGACGATGACCACGACGCTTGGGCCTGGGCTTGATGAGACAAAAAAGGGGCCGACAAGGAGGACGCGCTGCTGCCCAGGACATAATATGTCAGCAGTCGCCAGAGTCTGCGCCACCAAGGCACGGCGGCACTTCTGCCAGCTGTCTCGATGACGGCGAGCCTGTGCCGTGTCTCGCAGCGTCGGTCACCTCAAACACGTCTGCGATGCGTTTCCGCTCCATGTTCTCCAGGAGATGGTGCACACTCTCCATCTCACGAACAATCCCCTAGCCCCAGACCTTGTTACTGCCCAGATCTCTCAGGCGGTGCGGCGAGGCGATGGCTGTTGTGTGTGGCAACACCGGTGGCAAGCCCGGATCGGCTTGGGTCTGCATCATTATCATCGTCTTAACCACTGGACAGAGTGAGCCGGCCTAGTCGCTTGCCAATGTTCTTGACTTGGTCGTCTGCGAACACGAGGGCGTTGGCGAGCGGAAAGGGAAGGTAGGCCGGGGAAGGCAGAGGCTGTGTAGGCGATTGAGGCGCAGGCGGGGGCTGACGACGAAGCAGACGAGAACACGGTTGTAGGGCTGCCCATGTTGCCTGTTGACGTGACATTGGCGGCGGTTACTTGAGCAGTTGCCAACGTTATATGAGTGCCCAGTTCTGCCGTTCAGCCCGGCAGCAACACCCAGTGCTATTAAGTCCTAACCCGCAGGGCAAGACACACTACAGTTGCAATTCATCTTCTTGTAGTATTTTCCGTAGGGCCGCGGAGCATAGCGATAGTAATTGAGACATCCCTTTTGGCGGCACCAAAAGAGGCCGAAGCTCTCGTCGTCAGTAGTCAAGTTGTAGGAGTCCGGATCAAGGGCATGTAACCACCCTGCATTGATACGCCCCCGCGGCCAACCCTGAGGCACGAGCGAAACGATGCGCCGGTAATTCACCTGCAGGCATTTAGTGCTCACTAAACACGGCTTCATAATGACTTCCAGCCACGAGAAACCACCTGCCCAGCTGGTCATGGTCGAAACACAGCCTTGGTGATCTCCATGCCCAAGCTTCCGACTAGCGTCTGTACGACATGTTGGGAAAGGGATATCACTTGGCAACATAAGTGGCCATCCGCGGTGAAGCTCGTCCTTGTTCGAGTAGTGGAGGCAGTCGCATCGATTAGGATCTAAGCAGGACATTTCAGGTAGACGGCCAGGTGGTAGCTCCTGGGCTATATGTTCAGCTACACCAGGCCGGAGTTCTCGCACTAATTTCTGGTGTACGAACTGCGGTGTGAGATCTTGCTGGCTGTCTAGTTCAGGTAGCTCGAGGTGCCCCTCCCATTCGAGTTCGAGCTTGATATCAAACGCGTTGTTACCATCGATGTAGACAGCTGGATAGATGTCGTCACTGATAGACGCTTTGCTTGAGCTAGCACAGCTATGGCTTCTAGGCTCGTGACTTGGGTCACAGCATCCTGGTAAGAATATCCTAGCTTGGAGATCTGGACTTCCTGTATCAAGTTGTGACAGACCAAAAGCGGGTTGGGCAACCTCTGCCCATTTAATTATACGATGCTCGCAAAATCGAACATATCCTTCGTGCCCAATACATATCCTCGATATAGACTGTGGCTCTCGCCGCTGGCGTGCTGAAAACAAGATCTTTGGGTGGTCAATCCGGCAGCCTGAGCAGTGCAGAGTCTCGGTGGTCAGCTGATCGACCCTGTGCTGCCAGCTCGGACTGCAGCGGGCTGAACGGCAGTCGTTGCAGTAGCCGCCCATGTCCCTTGATAGTACGGACACGAGTTGCTGTTTGGGCCATAAATTCACATCAGGCTCCGGCCAAGGGTTAAGCCAGCCAAAGTCTCTTTGATAATCGCGGAAGCCAAGACGATGGCTGCTGCTAAATTCTGGAGACGAGTAGAGGCGCAGAAATGTCCGAGAAGCTCTCCTCAAGCACTGGATGCTCAGATAATCTAGCTCCTTCATCACTAATAGGAGAAGCTCATCCGGCAGTCTACAGAGGCGGCTACATTGTTCGTTGTGGAAGATTGCAGCCACGAGGGCGTCCATTCCGCTTCGATAGCATCGACAAGTTGTCGGCAACCTCGTGCGTGCCGTCCAGGTGGACGGGCAAACGAAGGGAGTCATTGCAGTGCTGTTCACAACAGCTGTTGCCTTGCCTTTCCTGCCCATGGTGATATTACGAAGTCGGTCTAGAGCACTAGAAAACATCGCAATATGATGTCAAGTGCCTGTTGGGCTCGAATGCTGTTGTGAAACGGCGTGGGGTGTGAGACATAGGATGAATTGAAAACTTGGGCCAGAGAAGACAGCTTATAAGAGAGATTCAAATGGAAATGGAGATAGATTTTTCTGATATACTCCCTACCCAATCCAGCAGAGGTTTATTTTTTAGCCTTTGAAAGTCTAGGCTCTTACTCCCGAGGCTTGTCGGGGTGTGGATGAGAGGTGTCGTTTCTTCGACCTTGTTCCGGGGAAGCTCAAAAGCTTGTATTTGGGCAAAGGTGCTACTTTTCCTATACAAGGGTTCAATCGTAAGTATGTTGATATCGTGTATTCAACAAACGGTATGATTTTCTGTTTCGACTTGATTATTTAGAAAGCCACGATACGATATCAGCAGTTGACTTCATTAATACTGCTAGCGATATTCCAATGCGAATGGTCTAGAGTGATAGTTGTTTGGTCCAGTAGTGATGGGTGACATGCATGTACTAAGAATAGTCGCTTTATTTGGGCTTGCTTTGTTTACTTTCGAAATCTTATAAGCCATATTAGGTAGAGACCTACACCTCTGCCAGGGTGATATTTGTTGACTCTGAGTAGGAATTATGACTTTGTAGGCAAGGGAGTTGCTACTTTTGTCAAGACCAGCAGGGCTAAAAAAATAAACACAATCTTCAAAGCCTTAATTAGATAGCCCTACTAGTCTTGACAGAAGTAGCAACTATCTTATCTGAAAAGTTGTGATTCCCACTCAGAATTAACAATTATTACCCTGGCAGAGGTGTAGAGGCGAATTATGGATGTTGATGATGTGAGACCCGCTTTGTTATGGTACATCTCTGCCCAGCCACAGGTACAGTTGTGTATTATGTAAGAAACGCGTCGCAGCGCTTACCTAAGCTGGAAACCGTCATGGAAAGCAACGTGAGTGAATAACGTGACTGCAAAGGTACTCCTCCGCTATGGTAATAAATGTTAGTTCGGCAAGGGTGCCACTACCTCCTCAACAAGCGTTTACTACCTTTGTAGAAGTTGATACACCTATGGTAATAAACGGAATATTCGAGAACTTGATGAGTATTGTAACTCTTGACATTGAGTATCCTCACCCTTCAACAATTAACATTTATTACCCCGGCGGAGGAGCAGAGCTGTCAAGTCCGTCCGGAAGCTGTAGGTGTCTATCTACCTTAGTAACCTTACATAATAGTAGTACCCCTGCTGGCCTCGACTCCAATAAACAATAAATGAGATGACTATGCGATGCGTTCCCCTCGCCTGGGCCTGGCCCTGTGGGACTGGGACTGGGACTGGGACTGGGACTGGGACTGTGGTCAAGTCGCGTCGTTCCTTGCATGGATGGATGGATGCATGCATGAATATGCTGCTATTGTGACTTGTGAGAGCTTCTTGTTACTATGTAAACTCTTCTTGTTTCTCGACGGCGACTGGGGCACCCTTGCACGAGGCCATGACTTGTAATATTAGCAGCCCGTAATTGACGTTACCTTTTGGTAGTGTACTGCATAGTAGAGTAGAAACGCGCTTCGAATCCCAATCCCAATCCAGTGACGGGGGTTCATCTCTCCTGTCGATGGTAGAAGCTCCCCTCCCTCGCCTACCTCGTCTTGCGGTGATGCTCTCTACTCTTTTGTTCTCCTTCTTCCCTTCCCTTCTCTTCCCTCCCCGTCCCTCCCTCACCGAGACAATTCGAGACATATCTACACTGGCTCTAGCAGATTCTTGCCTTCCGCGCTGCTAGCCGTGATAGCCCTCAGTCATTCTTTTCCTTGTGTTCTTCTTCTTTCCGTCTTTGTCTTTGTCATTTCGATCCCGATCCCGCCCGCATACCGCATACCGCATACCGCATACCGTAATTCTAGCAGCTCGTCGCGAGATCTGCCTTGGGCCTTCATTTTTTTTTTTTTGCTGCATCAATTGTGTGCTAGGTGTGCTGCTTGATGTCTTGCTCTGGCCGCTGATTCGGTAGCGTGCAGGCCGCCGAACTCGAAGCTGTGTGTGTGTGTGTGGGTGGCGGGAGCGCGTTTTGGAGGGCACTTCCTGTGGTCCATTGATTGGCAGTGTGAGAAACACACTAACGTTACCACCACAAGCACCGCCCACCGCCGCCCAGTTCGCAGTAGCCTCAACGAGTCGCGTTCATCCATCTTGGTGTGGAGAACAACACACCTACACATTCCATCACGACACCCCAAACAGGCCGTTACGACATCGCTTGTGGCCGCTTGTCGGGTGCTTCTTCGTCCTTCTGTTTTTTTCCCCCTAGTCGTTTGTTGTGGCTCTTCAGACTACATTGACGAGCACTATTTTCTTTTCCCAATTTGAGACAGACCGGGTCTGATTTGCTCTCCGGCACCCGCTGGGAAATTTCTGGCCAAGGGAAGGAGAAGGGGGACGTTTCGCAACCGTGTAAAAACAACAACCTACTCAGGCCGCCGCTCAAGCTGTCCATGTTTTCTCGAATTCGTTGATCTGAAGGGGCAAGTTCGCAATCCGGCCCGCCGAAAGATGGCCTCGATCGCTTCCGATCAGCCCTCCCGGGCTCTCGCCCAGGGCGGCGAGGCGGCCGATCCCTTCGTGTCCAACGCGTCAGGCTTGGGCCATCTCCGATACTCCAATTTCGACACTCAGCTCTTTGCCCTCGGCCCAGGCGCCTCGCCCGCCCAGGCGAAACGAGCCCTCGAAGCCCATCTGGCCGAAACCGAGCGACGCATGGCAGAGGCGGGCAAACTGGGCACAGCCTTGGTCCAGCAGCAGAAGGAGCTGACCGAGCGGCTCAAGGAGGTCGAACAGCTCGAGGCTGAAGGAGAGCTCACGCCAGACTTGAAGCAGAAGCTTATCGAGATCGAAAAGGACTACAATGAGGTCGCGAGGGAGAGTGCCAGGGCGTTCCTACCCAAGCAGAGAGTGCCAAGTAACGAGGCCGCTGCCGGCTCGCCTTATGCACCTGAAGGCAAAGGCGGCAGGGTGAGCAGTCTTTCATTCTCGAACACCACGATTCTGTTGGGACTAACATTCATACTTAGCGCTCTGTGAGTCCGTCCAAGTTCGAGAGTCAAGCTACAGGATCGCCTACGAAGCTCAGCGTCCCAAATAGAAAGCTGCGGAATCAGCCACAGAACCGTATCCACGATATCGAGTTTGCTGCCGAGATTAGTACCTCTCTGATAGCTCAGGTTCGAAATCTACAGGGGCTCCTTGCGGAGAGGGAAGAGGAGTTGCGGGACATCAAGACGGAGAAGTCGAGGCTTGAAATCGAGGCGGAAGGTTTCCAGCAGCGCATGAAGACTCTGGATGAAAGTGAACATCGATACAAAGATGAGAACTGGAATCTCGAGACACAGATTCATGAGCTTATTGCTTCGCAAAAGGAGGCAGCTGATCGCGAAAAGAAATTGAGCCAAGCCCTCGCTGTACTACAAGCCGATAAGAACTCTACGCAACGAGAATTGGACGAGGTTAAGATGAATCATTCGAAGCTTGTTGAAGAGCATGCCGCTGCCGTCAAACATCACGACATCGAGCTTGGAACCGCGAAGCGCAATATAGTCATGGCAGATAGCGAGAGAGCAGCCATGCAACGCAAAATCGACGACTTGACAAGCCAGAACTCGGAGTTGGCCAAGGCATTTTCAATGCAGCGAGGCAGGACAACAGAGCGAGAGTCTGCCATGGGCATGAGCGACGAAGACTTTGAGACTGCGAATGATAACATCACTCCCGAGCACTCTCCACCTCCGTCTCCTGTCAAGGGTACTCCAAGACATTCGGTATTGGAATCCGAGACTTTGAAGACCTCCCTCCACCATGCTCAACGAACAATCCAGAGCTTGCGAACAAACGTCCACCGCGAGAAGACCGAGAAGCTGGAGCTCAAGCGCATGCTTCAAGAGGCTAGAGATGAGCTTGAGAAGGCCCGAGGTGACCCAGCTGCCTCGAACAGACGAAGCCGAAAGATGGATTCTCGAGAGTTTAAGAAGCCCCTCAAGCTCGGTCAGCTGGGTGGTGCGCGTGCTAGCAGAAGCGATATCTACCTGGATGATCCAAGCTGGGAAGACGAGGCAGGAAGCCCATCTCGTTCCCCGGCCATTGCAAGCCCGGCATCCCGATCAGGAGAATTCGAGCCAATTGCCGAATCTAGCAGTGATCACTTTGAGACAGCCGATGAAGCCAGGGAGACAAGTGATGCGGCATTTGAGACTGCTCATGAGCGTGGCACCGAGACGGATGATTTCCACACTGGTGCTGAGGAGTTCTCTGATGACGATGACGCCGCGACCGAGACCGAGAGCCCATCTAAGGGAGCGGGCCGTATCAAGCGTCCGCCAGTCCTGCCATTGAACCAACCAGGCAATCGTTATTCCTTCCAAAGCACTGCTTCAACGTCCAACGATGAGGATGACTATGACATTTCCGAGATAAAGACTCCTACCGCCACAATGCCACAACAGAAAATGCGCCTAAGAGTAAGTCGTGGCGCATTGTCGCGACGTTCTCGGCAGGCCAGCGAGGAACCCAACTTCCAAAGCAGCCCAGCCAGCTTTGCGAACAGCAGTGTTTCTGGCACCCCCCAGCAACCCGCACAGAGTTTGTTCGCTGAGCTCGGTGATTTTGATGGAAGTGATGATGAATCCTTAGGTGGCGCAACCCCAAGCCGCAGGAGTATCCGCTCGGTCACTCCTGGCTCCAGGTTCCAGACAGTCTCGCCTGCTCCAGAGGTTCCACCTTTGCCCAAGCTCATCATGGTGGATAGCGGCGTCATGACAGACCCCGTCGATATTCACCCGATTCCTACTTCACCAGCTAGCGTGGTGGAGCGGCCCATATCTATGGCATCTGTTTTGGAAGGAGGGGCATCACGGCCTGTGTCAATGGCTTACAGCGATGCAAGCGCACAGCATGATCCTGATATGGATGAGAAGCTAGCTCAATTCCCATCACCGCCGACGTCTCCACCCCGACTTGGAGCTGGCATGGTGCCGATCTTGGCCCCGCCTCAGACTTTGACCATATCGTCAATTCAAGTACAGGATATCGAGCCTGAAGCCGAACCTGAAGTGTTGCCCCCGTCTCCTCCAGCTTTAACCCTGTCTTCAATCGTCTTCGAGCACGTAGAGCCGATTGTTGAGCCAGCGCGGCCTAAGACACCTCCGCCAACACTCAGCTTGTCCAGCATTGTTGCCGAAGATGTGGAACCGGTGGTCGAACCTGAACGACCGGCACTTCTACCTACTCTCAGCCTTTCTACGATTGTCGCCGAGAATGTAGAGCCTGTCGCTGAGCCTGAGATGATTTCACCTCCGCCTCCCGTCTTGTCTCTGTCCTCAATTTACGCGGAAGAGGTTGAGCCGGTGGTCGAGCCAGAACGGGAAACTGTTCCTATACCAATTGTTACACCGGAAGCTCCTGCACAACCTCCACCTATCAGTCTCTCGTTCTCTCCCATTTTCGCTGAGAATGTCGAGCCACGTGCTGAACCTGAGATCCTGCCGCCTGCGTTATCGCTGTCGTCCATTGTGTCAGAACACGTTGAGCCAGTCACCCCTCCTGAGCCTGAGCCTGTTCTCCCCGAGAAGCCTTCGTTGGCTTTCTCCACAGTCCAGTCAATTGGCACGGAGCCACTATCCCCTCAAGAACAAGCTCCTCCCTCACTTGGCTTGTCAGCAATACAGTCCATAGAGACTGAACCCGTCTCCCCTCCTTTGGGGATGTCGAACATTGTCTCAGTCGACACTAAACCAATATTTGCCGACAAACCTGTTCTTGATTTCTCTGCCATCCAGATGATTCAGACCGAGCCTCGCAGCCCTAAACGAAACGCATTCATCATTCCTCGCGATGCCGAAGAGCAGCGATCTCTCGAAGGTGATGCTCCAAAGACACCCACAAGAAATGTCTTCGGATCAGTGCTTGGTTGGGGCAAAGGCAAGGCGCCTGCTTCACCAATCATTGCTGAGGATGATACTCGTCAATCCCCAAGTGGCACTCCCCTGTCTGAGACTCCCGAGTCTCAACGACCTTTGAAGGAGTTGTCCGCTAATACAAATGCTAAACCTGCTCGTAAATCCCCGGTACCTACTACTGATCAGAACACTCAGACTGCTCTTACGGCTGAAGCAATTGATGAAATGCTGGCAGCTAAGATGGCGCCATCGGAATATTTTGGTCATCAAAAGACAGAATCATTTGCTAGCAGTATCGGGACACCAGGAACCGTACGCATCAGGAGACAGAAGTCGCAGGAGAGCGTTAACAGCGTCATCCGTACAAAAGGCAAGGCTGTCGATGTTGGTTTCGAGTCCGCCCCAGAAACCAATAGCCGTCGACCCGGCAGCTCCGCAAGTGGCCGCGCTTCGATACAGAACGCGCCTCCGTTGCCTCCTAATCACAAGCAAGTCATTGAAGCTGCTCGGACTGGCTCGGCCAGCGGAGGTCAAGGTACCATCGGCACAATGGGACCGCCGTTGCTTCCTGCCTCTGCTTACAGAAATCCTGCATTGAGACCTAGAACTCCAAGTGGTCCCAAACCCATGTCTCCAATCTCCATCACATCCGGAAGAGGCACACCCACACCTCGGGCTGTCAGGACTGGGTCGGCGCATGGTACTGCAGAAATTCATTCGCCCTCCCGGATTACCGCTAGAAGCCGGCAATCCTCGGTATCATCGTTCGTCTCGGAGATTGACACTAGATTCAACATGCACGACAGCATGGGCTTAGGTCCTCATGGCTTTGGGCCGAACACAGATCCTCGCATGATCCAAGCAATCACTCAGACCATGATTGGTGAATATCTGTGGAAGTACACCCGCAAGGCCGGTCGCGGAGAAATGTCCGAGAACAGGCATCGAAGATATTTCTGGGTACATCCATACACCCGTACGCTGTACTGGAGTGATAGGGATCCGTCAAGCGCTGGTCGTGCGGAGTTGAAGGCCAAGAGTGTTCCGATTGAGGCTGTCCGGGTCGTTACGGACGACAACCCCATGCCCCCTGGCTTGCACCGGAAGAGCTTGATAATCATCGCTCCTGGCCGAAGTGTCAAGTTCACATGCACGACTGGACAAAGGCATGAAACCTGGTTCAATGCCCTCTCTTACCTTTTGCTTCGCACAAATGATGAAGGCCAGACAGACACAGAGGAGATGGCTGGGAACATCACACGAGAAGATGTCGAAGAATTCAACCCCTCCTTTGGTCGTCGACCACCAGCTGGAACTAGACCTCATCCGCCGCCCTCCTTGTCTTCCTACAACTCAAGGACGACTCGCAATGAGTCTCCTATCCCTACCATGAACATGAGCATTCCAACACTCACTCCTACTCCACATAAAAAGGCTGCTGCGCAACGCCCTTCAATCGGGACGCTTGGCCGGCTCAGTGGAGTTTGGAAGTCGACAACTGGGACATTCTCAAGCCTCAGAAGTCGTGGTAGTGGTGTAGAACATGGAATATATGAGGCTAGCGAAGTTCATGACAGCGCTGAGGATCTTAGGTTGATGTACGAGAAGCAAGATAGGGAATCTGATCGGCTTGAGAATGTGAGAGCTTGCTGCGACGGTAAGATAGCGTCCTCACTTCGAGCGTAGCTACTTGAACTAACAAATTTCTAGGGAAGCACGACGTGGGAACGCTTTCCGGGAAAAAGGGTCGACCTCATGCACACCATTCTCATACACATCCAGGTCCTTCAACAACATCAACTCCTAGGAGTACGGTGAAATCTAGGACATAGGCCATGTCCATCACAATCACTACATTTCCTTATACCCTCAACACCTACAAATGCGAATTACACTGCATCTACATCATTCTCTTCTCGTCATTCGCTACACAAACCAGTTTGCATCAGAGTTTTCTGCTGTCACGAAACACCAGCTCCCCGCCTCGGATTTCTTATGACCTTGATGATGTCTCCTTACTTCGATTCTCGTTAATACCAAGCATTCACCCATCTATGGTTTTATATGCTATTCGTCTCGGATATCTCCTACACTAATCTCGGTTTAGACCGGATTGCCTCGAAAATTTCACCCGCGTCATTACTGTCTGATTACCTGTCGAATCTACGCCCATTGCTTCTCGACTCTTCGTGTGTAACGTCCATTGAGAGGGCCAACAAGACTGGAAACCGTCCATCGCTCCGCAGTTGTTCTTGAGCGGAAGAAAAGCACCTCGGAAGTTAGGAGTAACAATGTTTTGTGGTCAATAATACCTATGTATGGCTTTTGTGCTTTTTACGGGGCTTCATGCTGGCGGCGTATTCCTACTCAGATACTCCAGTCACGAATTGCCTTGCGGAAGAACGGGCTTTGGTAGGGTAACGGTACATCCTAGGCGTAGACCTGATGACTGAATGATAAGACTTAAATTGGAAATGCTGCCGACCCCTCGTGACTATGTTCCCTGATCGCTTCCTTCCCACTGACTGCCAGGGTTTGCAGCTGCTTCATTGCGTTCACAAACTCCTATCCCATGCGTACCAAATGCATCATTACAATGCCAAACAGACGTTCCGCCTTGTATCCCAATGCTTGCTTGTAACATAATCCACACTATCCTACCATTTCAACGCACCCTTTGCTAGCCCCATCTCGGAAAGTTTCCTCATGACAGGCTCAATGATGCTCTTCTCGCTGCTCAACCTCGCTGCCTGCTTCCGCCTCGTGTAGAAGACCGGACAATCCTTGCTATCGCAGAGGACCTCGTCCGCCGGCGCTAAAGCAGCACAGCTCTGGCAGACCTTGACGACGTCGGCCAATTTTCTCTGCTCGGTCGATAATCTATTGTGTAGCTTCAACATGGAGCCGGGCAGGTTCTTTCGGCAACGACCACACATCATGCCGTCGCCTTTCAGTTTGACGCCGCAGATTGCGCAGGACGCCGGTCTGAGATAACTCTCGAGGGTGACCTTCTTGGCCCCGGGTGCGAGCGTGTTGATGCGCCGGATGCGTTGGATCTTGGGCATCTCGTCATACCACTGCCGCACATTTGCGCCGACGAGGTTGAAGATACGCTCTAATGGCGGAATGAGGTTCTTCGAGATGTAATACTCGGCGTCGAGTTGCACATGCGAGTTGTTCAGCAGGTCTTCAGGAGCAACGCAGCGGTCGATGAGTCGAGCTCTTGGCCCTCCGGTTATCACGACATATGGAACCCGCTCGCCGTACTGGGGCTCTGCACGGGCGTCCGCCAACATGCGCTTGGTGCTGATAAGTGCGCCGGGAGGCGGTGGCCCCTTGTCGCTGTACGTGCCCAGCTTGACTTCCTTTGCGAAGCAGAAGTCCTGGATCGAAACTTGGCCCCTCATGATCTTCTCACACTGCTTCTGAAAATAAGCCTTTACCTGGCTGAGGTCGGCCGTCTCAAAGAGCAATCTCAGTGCTTTTTCTTCGATCTTCTGCTCAGCTGGCGTTCCGTCACGTCTAACGGTCTCGATGCCCTTCGCATCAAACTCAGGCTTCGCCTGATCTCGAGTTTCGTATTTGTATCCAACATATCTCTTCTTCGCAAGGAGGACGCATGGGTGATACACCTTCTCAAACTTGAGCTTGATCGGACGCGGGTTCATGTCTGTGATGGCCTTGGCAATCTCATTGCCAATGTCGAATGCCTGGTCTTTCGTTCTCCCCTTCAAGTAGACGAAAAGACTATCAGTGTCACCGTAGACGACCTCGGCACCCCACCGCTCTACAGAGTGGATGTAGGCAATTGCCCTCTCTAGTGTCTCACGACCCGTCTGGACAATGCTATCGGCAATCTCAGAACAGGGCATGCGGCCGGAGAAAGATGCTGATGTGTAGCCATACGTGACGTTGGCCAGAAGCTTGAGCGCCAACTGTCTGTTATTCAGTAGCTGCTGCAATGTCTTGTCGTCCTTGTCCTGCTTCATGCCACTCTTGACCATGACTCTTGTCTCGAGGATCTCGGTCAACATCTTGGCCAGCAGTGACTTCCGGATCTCGACTTTGGTGTACATCATGCCGTTGGGAGCAATATTGATGTAGTCCTTCAACAAAGCGAGAAGCTGCTGGTGACGCTTGTACTCCGTGAAACCCATCTTGTTCATACCGCGCCAGTTGGTGATCCTACCAAGAAAGGTAGAATAGCAGTAGTTGTAAGCAATCATGACGCTAGGATACAGGCTCTGAAAATCCAGGACGAGCAGAGGACTGTTGTAAAAAGCACTCTGTGGCTCCATGACGAGAGGCAGACACTCTAATGCGTTCTGGCCTCCCACTTGTTTCCTGCTTGGGGAGACCAGCAGAAAGTTCTCCGGTTTGGCGATCCGAAACATGATCGATTCCACCTTGAATTGAGATCCTCGAGAAAAGACGGAGAAAAAATCCACACCAAGCAAGCGCGCCTGCTCACTGGTACGGGCAATGAGCTCGTTTTCTTCCAAAATCTCGATGTCCATCTTAGTTCTTGTGAGATAATAGCGAAGCACCTTGCTTAGATCTCTTTGTCGACTGCCCGAATACCAGTCAGATAATGTTCGCCAGGAGTAATGTGGTATTCGTTGATGGAGCAAATGCCACACGACGTTCTCCATGGTATATTGTAGAAGATTGAGTTCTCCTCGCATGGCACGCCAAATGTTTATCATGTGTCTACCAGTGACTCGAATCGTGGACGTCGTATTGAAACCCCAACGGTCAGCCTCCTTGCCATATCTCCCATGAGATTGCGATTTCATCCGAGAAAACTCGTCGCAGAGATTGTAGTCGTACTTGAACCTAGCTCTTTCGATCAGGTAGCCCCATGAACTGCCGTGTACTTCATATCCGGTGAGGATGTCGGGATCATGTGTTCTGACGATCTCCACCATTCGGACCATGAGGTCTAATTCTGACGACTCTTCGATCACCTCGGCAGATGTCTGTTTGCGGAGTCGCTGTGCCATAGACCCATCTTCTGAAAGCACTATGATGCCGCCTAAGGTAGTGTTGATAGACTGGCTGCCGTCTTGAAAGTTCTCGTCCGACTTCGTACACCAAAAGATGCATTGGACTGCGTCCTCTTCTGGATTTGGCACAAGTTTTCCCCTGGTATTGACATGTATTTCCAAGCTCATGGTGCTCATATACTGCGCCTCGTGTTGAACACTGGTTGATCTTGTTGTCTGGGAGTATTTGAATCCATGCTTATTCCTCGGTGTCGGGCCATCGATTTGAGATAGGTATGGCTTTGCTAGGGGAAATGACGGAACGACGGTCGCGGACCGTGCTTGCACCTGCTTCTTCGCCTTTTGGACACCCTTCCACCAATCGTTCACCTCTTCAAACGTAGGGGCTGGTTCTGCAATCTCCCAACCCCGAAGCGAGCACTCACGCCGCTTCCGTTCATATTGTAATTCTCTCGCTGCACGGTCTGCTTTGATCTTTTGCTTGAACCCAAAAGATGAGGATGCTAAACCGGTGGGATCAAAGTCTGGGAGGTAAGGCAAAGTGTTGCCCTCAATCCGAAACTCTCGACCGGCGTACTCTCTCATTCTCGAGGGCACGTCTTTTTCGTTACTGTAAAAAGCATCCTGATAGATGGCATCCGGTAATTCATGGTCTTGCATTGTGGCAGAGACCTCCGCAGCAGAAGGCGGAGGCATACTGAGGACAGCAACAAACGGATCCAGGCTGCAATCGCTTGCAAAATCTTGTTCGCCTGAAATATCGGACTCTTCTGCTGACCGCAAAGACGAGATAGATGACCTTGTGACTGACTTTACTGGGCTGGAATCGGTTGGGGAGTCGTCAGGTGTGCTACCCGGTGCTTCGAAAGCCACATGTTTCTTGAGCGTACCATCGTCACTTGCCTGTGAGCTGCTCTGCTGACTCAACCGCAGCCTCGTATTTAGATCCGCAGGGTCCTTGACAACTGGAAAGTTCAGTGTCTGACTGATCTGCTTCTTTGCGTTTTGCCAATACGATGGTGGGATTCGCGGCTGTGATGATGGTGGAGGTCCTGCAAGACGGTCCGAATCGATCGTTCTCTCAGTTGCGAGACTGTCTAGGTTTTCGATTTCGTTGAGATGTCGTGCATTCGTCCTAGACGGTTCGATGATGGCAACTCTTTGCCGCTTAGAATTCGTGTCATTGGTCTCAAGAGCGTAAGGGCGTTTCAAGGATGGTTTGCGAGGAGTCTCGAATGTTAAGTCCCTTGGAAATTTGCTTGTCAGACCCTCGGCATCCGCAAATTCTATCAATTCTTTGGTCACTGGAACTGACGGCAGTTTGCCCGTTTTCAGGCCACTCCGGTATATTCCTTGCGGTAATGCGCTATCAAGGAGAGAATGCCCTATGTCATCTGTCATCGGCGGCGAGACAGGTGAGCGCTGTGTCGGAAGGGTCCGAGACAAGCCGTTTACCGTGCGTTTTACTGGCTCGGTGATTTCTTTTCCGGAGATCGGTCGTTCGTTCTTGACAACTTGAGCTTTATTGACGAGCTCTGCTGCAAGCAGATATTCTTCGTCTGAGTCATCTGGAAAGAAGTCTTCATCTTGCTCATTCGCACGAGTCACAAGAATGCCTTTCTCGTCGACGTCAATACTGCTGGTAGGAAGTTGATCAGCTTCTGTGAATTGTTCACCCAGTCCAAGAGATGGCAGGAGGTTCTCAGGGTAGAGATCTTCCACAGCTTCCAGAGTTGTTTTAACGGTATGCTCGAGTGGTTTCTCCTTCACAAAGTTGTCAAAGGTCAATTGTTGATCGCCACTTGCTCTTTCCTCCTCCATGATCAACTCCTGGATTTGTTCTCTGTACTCGTCTTCGTGAAGCCACCCTTGAGGTTGCGAGTCCCGAGGATCTGCTGACATTGACACCAGAACCTCAGGCGGAAAAGGGCTGCTTCCTGGTCTGAGATCTCCCATGCGACGTTTTCGACGCATAGTCTCGTCTTTCCATAGACCAGCCATACTATGCACGAGTTTTAAGCTGGAGGGCACAGGTCGGACCTTCTCAATAAAGTCATGATGTAAACGACGCTCCTTCACCACCTTTCGGTTGAGAATATCGGGCACGCATATGTCAACCTCGATAGAGCAATGCGAGACACGAGGCAAGGCATAGTCGTCGGTGACTTTCCATTTTGGAATGGATTGGCTGTGCCATATATGCGGTGACGAGCTCTCATCTTCTTCGAAGTTTGGCACTGGAGATCGGAAGTTGACTTTCTTACTCTCGAGATATGCGCAGCCGTAAAGATTGTAATCGGTCATGAATTGCAGGAGGTACTGCAAATGGGCTTCGTACGGCTGGAATTTGCGCCTCAGAATCACTCCTTGTTGCAGAAGATCTGCCAATCTTGTCATGCAGATGGGATTAAACAAGTAAATCTTGAGGTAGAATCGGTAGCCAACGTGAAATCCATAGAAAGGGATACCCTTTACAAGGGTAATGCGAGCCACAAACTTGGGCTGTTCCTTGTAGACATCCCGCCGATAGCTCACGGCGAGGGCATGATCAATAGACAGATGAAGCCGATAGATGTAGGCGCCAACTAAAGCATGCATTAGAACATTCCCTGTCGATAACATATCTAGGTAGGTAGTGGTTTCGAAAGACTGACCCTCTTCTGGAGCTAAGCTGCCAGTGTACTCAATGAAGAGGTATGGAAAGGCTCCATGGATGTGAGCGCACACCTTCTGACCGGTCTCGGTCGACCCAAAAACTCGAACAACCGGGACTTTGGGCTCCTTTGAGAACTGAGATACCCGGACATCGTTACGAAGCTGAGGATCATACTTTGTTGGTGTCGCCTGGTAGTGGTCGATGCAGTTCAACCTCACACGGAAGATATCCATGGCGATGTGCTAAAATCGCCATAAGAAAGCAATGAATAAGTCAGCTAAGCCAAATCTATGACTGCGGTATCCCAAAAATGAGATAAGTGGTGTTGCCACCTAGATGTTGTGAGTCTCATCTTGTCCAGCCTGTTTACCCGAGTCGAGACGCGATGCCTGCCTGCAATGCGGGTGACCCAATCGACGTGTAATACCAACTGGATCTATCTTATGTAAGCAACTTAGCCACATTCCAGGTTACTGCTTGCAGCCACATGAGCAGCCCCACCTTTTCCCTCACTAATGTGGCGCGCCCATTCTCCAACCTCGAAGCATCGCCTCTATATTTTCGGCACTCCAAGGCCTGACAACAGTCAGTCTCTGCCTATCCTCGTCTGCTTGTCTTCTCTGCGCAAATACTACGACTCTCTTACGTGCGCAATATGCCGCCGCCGCCACCTCCTCCGCCGTCAAGGCGAGCCGATCCTAAGGGCTCAATTGCCCCGAATAAGGAAGAGAACATCTACATCCCCTCTTTCATTGCCAAGAAGCCCTTCTATGCTGGTGGCGATGACGACACAGACTACCTAGAGCATCAGCGGTTACAGAAGCAGAAGAAAGACTCAGCATGGTACGACCGAGGGAAGAAGGGTGTCGCATCCACCAAGTACCGAAAGGGCGCCTGTGAGAACTGCGGCGCCATGGGCCACAAGAAGAAGGACTGCCTGGAGCGGCCAAGGAAGATTGGCGCCAAGTACTCGGGCAAGAACATTCAGGCGGACGACGTGGTCCAAGAGGTCGAGCTAAGCTGGGATGCCAAGCGCGACCGATGGAATGGCTACGATGCGAAGGAGTATCGCCATGTTGTGGAGGAATTCAACCAGATGGAGGAACTGCGCAAACAACTCAAGGCGAACAAGGCCGAGGGCGGTGATGATGGGGAGCAGGAAGAGGATGACGACAAATACGCCGAGGATGTGGATATGAGCAAGCACCAGCCTACGTCAACTCGGCAACTGAGAATACGAGAAGATACGGCGAAATATCTGCTGAACTTAGATCTCGAATCCGCAAAGTACGACCCTAAAACAAGATCGATGGTGGATGCTGGTGCGACAGTTGATAAGGCGGCTGAACTATTTGCAGAAGAGGGATTCATGCGCTCGTCTGGAGATGCGGCAGAATTTGAAAGGGCACAGAAATATGCATGGGAGACACAAGAGAAAACGGGTGATACAGGTCAGCATCTACAGGCCAACCCGACTGCCGGAGAGTTCTACCGTAAAAAGGAGAAAGAAGAAGCAGAAAAGAAACGTGCAGAGCGAGAGAGATTACTCCGTGAGAAGTATGGTGACGACGCATCCACCATGCCTGCAGCTCTCAAGGATATGGCTGTCACAGAGTCAGAGAGATACGTTGAGTATGATGAAATTGGCCTCATCAAGGGAGCTCCGAAGACGTCTGCGAAGTCCAAATATCCGGAGGATGTCTACATCAACAATCATACATCCGTATGGGGTAGTTGGTGGTCAAATTTCCAATGGGGATATGCATGCTGTCATTCTCTCATCAAGAACAGCTATTGCACTGGTGAAGAGGGCAAGCAGGCATGGGAGGCAGCAGAGCGCCAAAGAACGGGCGTAGGCTTGGCCGAGGAAGTCTCTGTCGAGCAGTCAGTCGAGGAGAAGCAGGAAGAGCCTGAAAAGACTACTGTACAGAAGCGTACAAGGGACGAAATGCTCGGTGGTGTCACTGAAGAGGAAATGGAGGAATACCGTCGTAAAAGAATGGCCACTGATGACCCAATGGCGAAGTTTCTCGGGAAGGATGAGCTTGTACATTAAAGTATGAACTAAGGAGCAATGCAATGATACCAACATGTCTTGAAGGACGTGGACTTAACACATACTTCTGATCAATCAGATAAGCGTCTCGTGGTTTTCGTGCTGACAGCTTCGCAAGTCAAAAAGAGCGTCCCCAGCTCTGATTACCTCGTCCAATCCACTTGGAAAACAAATTAGATTCGCTGCACAGGAGAGAGCATTTCACGGGCGGCTCGACTGGCAATAAGATTGGTCATTTATGCATTCCCCTGACTTATGGTCTAACGCCTTTTGAGGATGAAGTTAACTCCATTTTCCCTGACCAGGTATCCCTGCCAATGCAATGCTCTCAGACTAGCTATAGAGAGCTTCATGAGGATGACGCATTTACTCCTCCTCCTCATCATCACCAGCATCATCGCCCTTCTCAGCGGCCTTGGCCTTCTTTCTTCGGACACGACCGGGGCGTCCGCCACCGAAGGGCGAGGTGAGGGCGAAGTCAATGTGCTTCTGGGAGTCGAGACGAACGATGAAGGACGGGACGTTGACGATCTGCTTGCCGACGCGAATGTGTCTCTGGCGGATGAGGACACGAGCGTGGTGGATCGACTTGGCGAGACCCAGCTTGTAGACGCAAGTCTGGAGACGACGCTCCAAGAAATCTTCAACCTTCAGGGCCAGCACGTAATCGAGCTTCATGCGGGACTCGTCGAGCACACCGACACGAACCAGACGACGAATGAGGGCATTGCCTTCGAACAGACGCTTGGGGTCCTTCTCGTCGAGGGTAAGAAGCTGACTGGAGAGGTTGTTAGTGGCTGAACAGGTGAGCGCAAATCTTGCAATGTACATACCGGGCAGCACGACGAATCTTGGACAGGGTGAGCTGGACACGCCAGACCTCACGCTTGTTCCTCAGACCATACTCGCCGACGAGCTTCAACTCAGAGTCCCTGTAATATCAAATGTCAGTGCATCGTTCACGACTTAAGCAGAGACAAGCTACTGCTCAGTGGTCGGTGAATACTGACAGACGAGCGGCCTCGAAGGGTCTGTGAAAGAAACCATTAGCGAATTGCGACGTTTATAATTATTTTCATGATCGGGTTTACCTTCTCGGCACCTTGGCCGTCTTGGAGTAGGAGAGCGGCGCCATTGTTGCGGTTGACGATGGAGTTGTTGGAGGATGAGGGCGAAAGTGTTAGATATTTTCGTGATGAATTTGTCTTTCTTAGTGGGCAACACAATTCTTCCGTGCCGATGGCCCGTGCCACTTGCCCTAGCAAGGTAGGTTGCTGTGCAGTCTAACAAATCTCTGTGGGCTAGGTACGACAATTTGCTAGTGTTAGAATTTTTCCGGAGGTACGTAGGTTTTGGAGCCCCTCCAATCAAAGGCGCTAGTCTGCTGGTGCCAGGTCATTTTGCAAAACCCACAATCAATTTCTGTCGAGGAATCTCTGCTGCAACTTGAGCTCGACATCACGACCGACCGTTCAACCAGCACCCTCAGAAATCAGTCAAAATGGGTCACGCCGCCGGTCTGCGTGCTGGCACTCGCGTACGTTTCATTCATACGATCCTTCTGGACGAGATATCCGCGGCTTGGAGCTGGGCTGACAAACTCAAAATAGTATGCCTTCTCGCGCAACTTCCGCCAGAAGGGCATGATCAAGCTGTCCACCTACCTGAAGCAGTACAAGTAAGTCTTACTGGTCTTGATGGATCACGAAAACGAAGAAGCGACTAACAGCGAGCAGGGTTGGCGACATCGGTGCGACTCCTCCGTCATTCTTGAAGTTTTCAACAGTTTTCTAACTATACTCGTAGTTGACATCAAGGCGAACGGTGCGGTCCAGAAGGGGTAAGCGATTTTTCCGAAACATAAAAACACAAACGATGCACTGTAGAACGGCTCCAATGGCAACTTGGGCCGGAATACGGTCGCAGATGGGCATAGAGCTAACAATTTGTCTACAGTATGCCTCACAAGGTCTACCACGGCAAGACTGGTGTCATCTACAACGTCACCAAGAGCGCTGTCGGCGTCATCATCTACAAGAAGGTCAAGCACAGATACATCGAGAAGCGCGTCAACCTCCGCATTGAGCACATCTCCCCGTCGCGATCAAGAGACGACTTCATCCGCCGAGTCAAGCAGAATGCTGAGCTGAAGAAGAAGGCCAAGTCCGAGGGCACCACCGTTCAGGTCAAGAGACTACCAGCCCTCCCCCGGGAAGAGAGGACGATCTCCATCAAGGAGAACCGACCGGAGACCGTTGCCCCTGTTGCGTACGAGACAACCATTTAGAATGTTGGACGGGGTTGGTGGTTGTGCTTGCTTGATTTCATCTGGCTTGGGGTTCATCGCGTACGGAACGGAAAGTTTTCCAGCACGGTCCCGGAATGGAAATGGCAATGACCATAGGAAAATGCAAAATCCATTAGCATGTCCAAACGCTTCCCCTTTGTGTGAATGGTGCCTTTGCCTTGGTGGCAGCACCCATGTGTGATGCCCTGGGCTGACTGGACGTTCAAGAACGTATGCCCTGTCAAGTTCTACATTGCTTGAGACCATTGAACTGTGGCACCAGACGGCTTACAACACAGTGTGTAATGCGTGCAACGCAGCAGAGGACAGACTATGTCAACGACACAATAAATACCGTAAAGACCGAAATCAATGTCCACTCGTTTTAGTAGAGAATGTTTCACCACGGGGCCGTTTTTAGCAATTTGTGGCTTGTTTGGCGCCAGCAGACCGAACTATGTTTCTGGTGATGATACATGTACATCAAATACATAGCGCGCCTAGACAAAAAGCGAGGAATTCGCTTTCCTATCGCTGTGACCAGGTACGCATTGGAGGCGGGGCGTCAACCAAGACCCCTGCGCTATTTTGTGCTTCCGAATGGGATGGCATTCAACGTGCTTGTATGTATAACAGTCGATGTCCCTCAATGCCCGTTGATAAGCAATTCCGGCGAACAGCCGGGGTGGGCTGAGCGAGAGGCTCTCATCTGCACTGTTTTCATTGAGCATATTATCATTGTCGTTAATCATCAGTCCTACAATCAAGGAGGATGATACATAAGTTATTTTTATATCAATTTATATAGTACAATCTATTCTAGGGGTATCTTTTCCATCGTAAAACCTTGCACAAATAGACTAGAAACGTCTGAATATCTAAACTAGTCATTACAAGCAAGATGCTACCAAGCCGTTAATCGTGATCCGCACTTCCTGACTCCTTTTTCGTCTCCTCCCCACCTGCTACACGCATCTGCTTCATGAGTGCACGAGATAGTCCCACAAGAAGTCAGCAGCGTACTCCTGCAGGTCCTGTTCCGTCAAGACGAAAGTCTCCTCCGTCGGGTTGGATAGGTCCGGGTCACGCAGAAGATATCTTTGAAGGGGATGACAAACTTATTCTCTTGCGAAGCGCCAGTTGGTGAGACTTGGTAGTGTTCTGGGCAAGGGCCTACGACTCTAGAGCCAGAGTCGAGTGTTTGCGTTTGCGACGGAGGCAGTGGCGGAGGCAGAGGTAGTGCTGTCTTTTCAGTGATTTGAACAGAGCTAACAGATGTGGGATGTATGGCGGTGGCAGCGTGTGTTTGAGGCCGGTTGTGGGTAAGGGAGAAATTGCTATTCTGCCAAAGCTCTAGGTGGATTGCTTTCTCCTTCCGGTGAAGCTTTAAAAAAAGGACGGCCTTGACAGCACCAGCAGAATTCTGTAGCCACCAGGAGGGAGCCGCTCTCAATGCTTCTGTGGAGGAACTATCGCCGACCACAATAACGAGCGTAGGCTAGCTATTATGGCCCCGCCGCTTGCTAACGGGCCGGAAGGATGAGTCCGGCTCCTTTCTAATAGTGCTATGGCCGTCAGATGCCGTGGGAGTTGGGATAGAGGTAGCCATACGTGTCGCACCAGGGGATTTGAGCTCTTTACCCAAATCTGCTGCGGTAGTCTTGGTAACAATGAGCCGGGCGCCATCTTCAAGACCAGGATGTTTGTACTAGTGGAGTGGTGGTGGACGCGGAAGGGGCCACAGCCGTCAAGCTTGTGTTCGATGTCGTCGTCAATTTCCTTCAGGGAGGAAGCAGTGACATTTTCAAGAATGATGTAGTCGGTCTGGTGGCTGTGTTCGGTATCGAGAGCTGTAGGGAAGCTATAATGCTGAAGGAGCGTCTCGCGCATGTCGGACACGGTTGAAAATCGTAAGCGAGGAGACTGGCTAATGCCAAGGAGCTGAACGGATTCTGCGAAGCAAATGACACGCCGGCCTTGGTCAGATATGTAATTCTGGCGCGAATAGCAAACGGATGAGGTGAAAGTCAGAAAAACAAAAGATATGGCAGGAGGATAATTGCGGCTCGTAGTCTGGGGGGCGTTCTAGTAAGGGAATCCGTCCATTGCGTTCGTCAGTGAGGGAGACAATAGTCAGCACATACCAATAGACCAGTCCCACACGACCGTCGGGTTCTGATCAAGGACCGCTGGACAAGTGTTTTGGTAACTTTGTTGTGCCTCATCATGAGGCCCAAGGCTGGCCGTGCTAGTATGCGAATCACGACTTATGCAGTTGGGGCCAAGTGGAGAAGCCGTGATAGAAGTCATAGTGTTTGGTGTTTGTTTTGATCAAGCATCGATTGCAAGGAAATAGCACCTAAGACGAAAGAGAGTGGAAGAGAGGTTAAGAGGGGGCACGCATATATGTATCTGATTCTATGCACACGGAACGACGCAGACGCAGAGGTGCTCAAGTGTTCATTGTGTTGTGATGCGTTACGTCAAAAATGTAGGTAAAGTAGAAGAAGAGAGGAAGAGAAAACAAACATGAGTTGCGAAAGGTCATGTCGTTGTCGATACTAATCCTTATCGCAGGTTTCTAATTTATTTGTGTGAGGTTTTACGATGGAAAAGACACCCTACAATAGCTTATAAACATTTTCCCTAAGCAATATAGCCTTTTCGCTGGGTCGACTAGGGATCAGGCAAGGTAGGCAGGGACTTAGGCAGGACCAGATCTTGCCCTACCTTCACCGGTTTCTATATAACCTAACCTTCTCTCTCTTCGTATACTCTCCCTCTCTCTTAGCTTCAGCCTACCTAGAGAAGCCTCCTTTTGATAACCGGAATTCTAAGAGTCTTACGAATGACGACTATTATAGAGTGATTAATTATCAGTATAAACTATCGACTCAGTTCTACTTACTTACCGTCATAACCTATATACCTACGTTATCTTCCGATCAGGCTATAGTTATAGAACTCCAAACAAGCGTGAAGGTGTGCTCGAAGATGTGCCGGCAAATAAGAAAAACATACATGTAGAGCGACAAGGTCTTGTTATTCTCAACTCTGTAGTATAGGTTATCTTCGTTGCTATGTTGTTGACCCTTTCCGCTAGAACGGCGGATTACACTTCACATGCCCCAAGGCTTCGTTTTCTGCTATATGCTTCTGTATCCTTAGTTCGAAACACGCTCAAATCATCTATCGGTGAGCTTGGCAATCAGGCTCATCGGCGCGTAGCCAAAGCAATCCAGCTATATTATAGACAAAAGCCAAGACATAGGGCGATTGATGTAGCAGATAACATTTTTGGGGTCAAAATTGCTATAGTACCCTTTAGTTTGGCAATGAACTGCTTCCAGTCCTGTTGCTTTAGCAATAGACTCAATAGAATGATGCCCGTTCTAGCGAGCTCTGAACGAGATATACACAATACAATAATACAAATGATATAGCAGCCGGAATCCAGGCTATACACATCCTGTCATCTATCGGAATCAACGTCGAATTTATTCCTACATCCACTGTCGTCGCTGCTCCTCTCCAATATTCAGGAGTCTTATCGTGGTAAAGTCCATGCTTGGCGTCATCGTGTCCAAGAATCGCCGAAGAAGTGTGCAATGCAGCCTCAACATCCCCGCCAAGAGACTTCCGTTCACAGTTCACGTCTCTTACCACTGCATCCGCGTAGGTGGACATACCTCAGCGGTGGATGTGCTCAATCCACTGCGGCAGAAGGTCACGGGACATGTCGTCGATGCCTTCGCCCGTGAGCCGTGTAGTGAGAGTGCCTGGCCACTTGGTCCTTGACTCGGCCACGCCAGCCGCAGTATTGTCGTCAATGTAGTGCTCGGATGGAAATGAAGCTGTCTGCGACAAGGACGGCTCCCGATGTTTCTTCTGGGAAGAGCGGCAACCCGTGCCACCAGGTTTGCTAGTTTGGGTCTGAGCAGAGCTGCTGGCTGTTGCAGCAGCGGCAGGTTCCCGCTCCTGGGCGCCCTTGCGGGTGGGAGTGACCACGTTTGTCATCGTGGAAATGGCTTCTGTTCTACCTGCGACGTCAGGCCCCATCAACCAGACGCTGAATGCGTCCCAGCTGATGATGATACACTAATGGCAGATGCTGCTGTCCTCGTCCGCGGCCTCCATGTGCTCCGTCCCACCATCACCTTCCAGGCCTGCGCAGACGGTTCTTCGTATAACCTCTGCTTGCTTGTCTAGCACAAAGCGGTTGTACAGTGCCGTGCTGCATGTATCGGCCAACGCGCCATGGCCTCGGGTCCGGTCTCCGTGTCGGCCTGGTACTCGATGGATGGATAGGGACAGGCGCCGCGGCGCTCACCCACAGCGCATGTCGCAGCCTGCACCCGTCGGGCTAGTGCCACCTTTTCGGGACCTCGGGGATCTAGCAGCGCGAGCCAAAAGGTCATGCTCGCTGTGCAGGACGGAGAGTGTCGGTGCTGCTCCGGCGGCGGCTGGCTGTACTTGGAGTAGCCGGAATTCCTACCGGGAAGAAGCTGCCAGTCGACGCCGCTTACGGAGGCCTATAGACACGACTGGCTCTTTTCAATTTTTCAACTTTTTTCAGAAATTTAGACTTATAATCCAAGTACCTTACTACCTAGAGTGCACTATATAACCCTAACCTCAACCCTACAGTTACAGTGGTAAGAGCCCTATAACTACAGTGGTAAGAGCCCTGTAGCTATAGTGGTAAAAGCCCTGTAACTATAGTGGTAGAAGCCCTATAACTATAGTGGTGGAAGCCCTATATCTATAGACAATGTGGCCATGCTCGGGCTTGGCCACAGAGGGAATATGGATGTAGAGCAGCTGCTTGGACGGTGTGTATTGGTATTCGATCTTAGGCGACTCGCTGACGGTACAGAACTCATCCAGCGCTTTGCTCAGATCACGAAGCTGATTGTGTGGGAAATTGGTCTGGAAATAAAAATCGCGGTCGAGTTCCATTTCGAGGTCGAGGCCAAGGCCAGGATGACTTTGAGGAGAGCCACCATCAACGACTCGTTTGTGGCAGGGTAGCTTGCTGAGCACAAGCTGCACTGCGGTGGAGGAGCCTTTGATCATGGCTGTGTCGGCTTCTGAGTGTGGTGAGTGGAAAAAGAAGGAAAAAGGGAAGAAAATGCGTGCGTGCTTAATTCTAGTGTATCTAACGAAACCTTGGAAGTGACTTCAGCAAGACCTCCCTCTCTTATCAAGGTTATCGAACGAAAGGCTAAGGCTACAACAGGTTTAGCGGCTTTCAGCGGTGACCCTGGCAAACTCAGATGGGTTGGGTAACATTAGGTGCTGAAACCCCACTTAAGATACCTAGGTACCTGTACCTGTACCCTAGGTATCTAGCTGCATCCAAGGTACCGGCTAATGCAATGGAAGAGCAGATAGGTGTACCCCCCCCGGGCCCAGCTACGGCATCATCAAGCATCCCGAGACAAACGGGCACCGCACCGCACCGATCACGAATTCTATCCTCGTCCTCTTCCCCGTCACTCAATTTTGTCTTCAACTCTCGACCAGCCGATTCCCGATCCCTGCGCATCTCTCATCCACACCATGGTTGCCTGATGCCTGATGGCATGGGTTTGCTAGCGCAAGGCTGTCACAGAGGCAGAGACAGAGACAGAGATTGCGATCGCGACTATTACGGAGGAGCAGAAGAAGGATGCTTAGGTCGCCTAGTCCAACCGCTTGCTTCATCAGCGCTTCGGACCAGAACGGCTTCATGGAGCGTTTCCTGCCACATCGGACGCGGGTGTTGCCTAGCACCTCCCTCGTCTCAGCTCCGACGATTGCTGCTCTTATGCGTGGTAGCGATGTCATCGCTAAACTCGCCTTGGACGAGGACGGCAACACTGGGTCAAGTGCAGTACGCCGTGACCTTGCAGTTGAGTAATGCATTGTGAAGAAATTCGTCAGTGAACGGGTTGGAGCCCGGCGATCAAATTGCAGATCAAGATTGTTCCATACAAACCTCTCACCGCACCGATCTAATTGCTGTATAATTGCAAGAGGGCTGGAGGGCTTTGACACGTATCCCTTGCTACCATGTGTCAACTGCATCCATCGCACGGGCAGCCATGCTCACCCGCCAGCGCTGCGGCCAGTTACATCTTATGCAGGCCCTCCGTCGTCCGCGTAACCCCTCGAATACCATTCCTGTTGACGTTGATGGTAGTAGTCAGCCCACTCCTCGTCCTCTCGCTCTCGTTCGAGCCGCAATTCGTGCCGGTTCCACTCGATCATGTAATCGTCATAATCATCTTCGTTGTCAAACTCGACTCCGCCGTCAGGACTGAACCAGGCCTCTTTCTTTAGAGGGACCTTTGTGATGTGAACAGCCCAGCCACGGCTGCACAATTGCTTCAGAGACTCTCTGTGAGTTCTCCAGCCATCGTGGTCTGAATCTTCCTGAAGTTCATCTTCGCCACCCTCCAAAGGATGGTCATCTTCCTCATCCATGTCCCAGCCCGGAAGTTCGACTTCCACCCTCACTTGTCGTAGGGATGAGAAAACTTCCAGCCGCGCCTGAATCAGCTCCAGCATATTAGTGAAAGTTGGCGTATCGCGGAGGATGAAGTCCACGCGGCCCGAGGGCAGTAAAAGCTCGAGAGTCGTGATGTCGGGACAGCTGCACCGGAGGAGGTCTAGATCATCGAATCCCCCTCCTGAATATCCGGAATCAGGCTCATTGTGAAGAGCCAGAGGGATGTCAGGAAAACCTATGCAGACGTGGCGAAGGAGACCTGCTTGGGTCCCGATCTGGCGGATGAAGATGGCGAAGGTCGTGTGACATTGTGTTGGCGTTACATCTGAGTTAGAGAATTGAAAGCAATTATCGGAGTAAAGAAGCGAGATGGCTTCGCTGTGAACCTGCTTGCTGAGGCGGAGAAGACCTGGGAAGAGATTATCTTCTTCATAGCAGATGGAAGACCGTTCGTGTAAATATGCCGCCGACAAGTCGATGGGTCCGCGGTGAACAAGTAATCCTGAATAGATCTTGAGCCTGATCTCGATGGGCAGAGTGAACAGGTCCATCGTCGTGATGTGGAAGGATGTGTAGCGTTGGCCGACGTCAGGTTACATCTCTTCACCTCACAAGAGAAAGCCACAATAATATCCCACTGGGCACATGAACTCAACCCCGCCTTTAGGCAGCAATTACTCCTCCTCTCCTCACCATGGCACTCCTTCTACCGTAATTCTTTATGGTTGGTGGAGTTTGGGCTTCGCTGTCATGATCGGACAAATTAAATGTTATGATATTCTAATACATGCTGCTTCCTGCTGAGTAACTTTAGCATACATGACTTAACCGCGATAAGAACTTTTGATGCAGAAGGGTATGTCTAAGCGAAGAAAAGTCGATTGCGTACCCACGTCTCCTGAGTCCGGAGGCCGAATGGAATTAGTTCCACTCAGTTGAATCTATTTATTAGACAGTTTCGGAGGTACTGTCTTCTTCCCCGTTCTCCTCTTCTCTGCTATACCGCGTGTACTCAAAATCACCCTTCTCCTCCTGCTCTTGCTCCTGTTTCTGCTTTTCTTCTCCTTCTGCTGTTCCTGTTTGCGACGGTGTCCTGTTATGGTCGTCTCAGTGCTAGGGCTGTTGGCGCGATGTTCTAGCAAGTGGGCCGTCTCACGAGGATTAAGAGCATAGGGCTGCTCTCTGCTTACTCGAATGAGCGCAACACTTGACGGAGAAGATTGAAATTACTTGAGAGGTAGGAAGAAGGGAAGGAATGGTGACATAGAAGTGCAGAAAGGCTGTAATCCTCTCTCGTAATGCATCGGTTGTCATAGTAATTACATTAGTAGTTCCTATTTACTTTCGAGACCCCCATACGATTGACTGTATATCTGTCCATTTCCGTCATATGGTGAGTGTATCAAGACGACTGTTGTCAGAACAGAGTAACAACACCAGACGTCCCAAGCGAAACCACTCGAAACCTCACTTCGACATATCATCAAAAGCCCTATCCATCAACAGCCCGCCCCTACCTCCCCCCATAGTAGATCGACATCTACATCATCATACCCAGTAAACATGGGGTCGCGGGTAACTGTGGCCTGGATGCTCTCAAGAGTAGGGCTGATGGGCGAGATAAAGTGGAGCCCGTCCACAGAGTGAACCTCTATTTGCTGGTCGACACTCTTGGCTCTATCCGGCGCCTGACCCCCGATGTATATACCGAGCGCCTTACCTGTAGAGTCGAAACAGAGGCTGCCTGAATCCCCATGCGAGCCGAACCACGCCGCATCTGGTCTGTTCCCAGCCGCCCAGAAGGCAGAGGTTGCCGCAGGACAGACAACCAGCAGGGTCCTGCCCTCGACGGTGACCGTGTCGCCTCCTGGGCCCGAGTATCTCATCCGCACGCTTGAGGCAACGTTGTTGAGTTCTCCCTGAGTCTTGCCAGTTGTGCGCCCTCGTTTGAACACCACATGGTGCTGCTCGGGCCTGTTTGCCGCCATTGTCTTTGTCTGTGGTTCGAGCTTCTGATTTGGTAGATCAGACTGAGCCATGCCGCCGCCGCAGCTACCGTGGCTACTGAATTGCTCGGTAGCCATTCCCGTGATCTCTTCAAACATGTCAAGGTCGAGGCCCCTGGGAGTGGGATGGCTTTCGAGAGTCTGGTAGAGCAGGAAGCGAGCAAAGACCGGAACCCGTTCCCCTGAAGAGGCGCTGAAGACCTGGCACCGGGATGTGAGCACCTCAACCAGGGCCCAGTCCAGGATCCAGCTGGATAACCCCGATGTGCCAGCTGCTGACGAGCCTACTCCGAATGTACAGTAGACCTTGCCGAGAGTGGGCTCAAATGACGAGGCGACAGCCAAGCACTCTCGGTCATGGCTCAGCTTGTCTTCAAGTGTGCAAAGAACACGCTCTGCGCCGGAGCTAAGTGCACCTGCTTCCTTCTTGGTCCTTAACAAAGATAGATGGCTGTCTGTGGATCGCACCGTTATATCATGCTCCAACGTCGTCTTCTAGACCTCGATATCGCGTTGGGGAGGGCAATAGACTGTGTCATGCAGGTCAATCCTGGTTGGCTGGATGGCAGTCAAGCTATCTGTTTTCCCAGGCATCAACGTCAGCAAGGTCCAGTTCAACAAGGTCAGTGAGGACGAGAAAGGAGAAAAGAGGAAGTGTGACTGGGTATGGGAGATCAATCGGTGAAACTTGCCGTTAAGGACATGATGGCAAGTCAGAGCGACAAACTTGGTTGCGCCGGGCATCGTGGCCGTGGAACGAGCTTGGATTCTGATGTAACCACCCAAGCTGCCGACTTTTCCTGGTTGACTGTCCGCGCCGACGCCAACACCAACGCCAATGCCAGTGCCGACGGTGGGCTCGTCGCAGAAGCTGTCCTCAAAGGTGTATCCGAGGGCATCAATCTCGCGCATGCCGCCGCTATTGTAGCCGCTGCCACAAGCCCAAACCTCCGACACAGTAATCTCGATTTGAACGTCGCGAAGGGCCTCGAAGCTATATGATTCGGAGAGAATGTCGAGTCAGCAAGTTTCCCGAGGTTGAAATAATCAAGCACACATGAGTAGCTGTCCGCATGAATAGTTGGGGAGGTGCCAGGTGGCGAACGGTCTTTACGTGAGGGGTTGGACGAGATTCTGAATCCAAAACTCACCAGTAAACGAGAGGAGCTGCTCTGCGTAGGATATCTTGGGCTGCTTGGCTGTCGATGGCAGAAGACGGAGACACACCAATCAAGATGGTAGGAGGCCAGAGGGCGGCACCTGGAAATCCGACCCGAGCGACGCTGATATGAGACCAATCAATGTCGGAGAGAAGGCTCTGAAGAGAGTTCCGAATGCCCTCGCCGTCAAACAGGCCGGCAATTGGATGGTTTGCAATAGGTGTAGCGACACGCCTGCCCTCAAACGGAAGGCCGGGGTCGATGAGCGAAGTTGACAAGGGGATGGGCCCAGCAGGAGAAGCGGATGCACGGGCGAGAAAGTGGGGGCAGGCGGGTTCAATGAGAAGGTTCTCCCCTGCTGATGAGGGAGAAGGAGGAAGTATGTTCATATTAGCTGACGACAAAAAGAGACGATCGAAGTGACAGCTTTGAGCATGACGATGAGATGATGATGAAGCTGCCTTTCTGTTGCTGCTTGGCTGTGTGTAGCTAACAAGGACACTGGAAGAAAAAGACGGACAGCATCTTGAGTGTGCTGCGCGGGGTTGCTAGGTACCTACATAGGCATGTGCTAGGTATTTCTTGATCGCTTATCGTGTATCGCTTATCGCTTAGCGTCGCTAGCTGGAGAATAGTGTGTGTGCTAGCAAATTAAGCGACAGCCCTGCAACAGTCAATAGCAAGCATGAATGATATCAGCTAAGTTGAAAGAGTTAGAAGAGGTAAGGAGGAAGGAGGGAAAAGGAGAGTAGGCGAATAATGAATGAATGAATCAATGCATGCATGTACGAAATATCAAGTAAAAAAAAAACCGAATTTGTTTTCCACCAAGATAATCAGTAAAATGCTGTTTGCACAGTGCCTGCACTATGCACAGCCGACACGTACAGCTGGGAGTCACTGATGAAGTGCAACTGCAGGAAGAGCCCTAGAGTCTACATACTCCTATGGAACTTATCTGGGCTATCTCATAGGCCCCATTCTCTGATCCCCATCTTCATCGTCATGAATTGCTGTATACGTAGTTGAGTAGACAACTCGAGAAGATTAATTGAGGAAACAGCACTCGCTCTATTTGGCAAGCTGGCACCGAATGTAAGCTTACTCTTTCCTTGCTTGACCTGACTGGAAGCAACACACTCCGCCACCTACACTGCAGACCTTAGCATCAACGCTCTCCAGTTTTGGGTTCTAATGATGAACTTTGTCGCTGTGGACAGGATAATGTCTGAAAGTGTCGCCAAGCTGCCGTACAGCTTCATGCGTTATTGTCGAATTCTCTGACCATATCTCTGATGCGTCGAAGGGCGGCATATAGATGGAAGTCTCCCACGCTGATGGGCATCTATCATTACCCCTTAGATAAGAAATTGATCAGCCTCTTGCCGGGATGCTCCGTGTTGAATAACATCAATTGCCCCAGCTTCTCGTAGCTTGGAGATCATGAACTCTGTCATTTTATAGCGACGACACGGGAGATCAAGAAGACGATTCTGTAGATGAAATATCCTTTAAATCCACTCACGGCTTGGCTGGGGTGTGCCGAATCGTCTGTGGGATTCAGAATCTTTCCTTGTTTGCGAGGCAGACCTCCTGGGCATTGTATCCGGCTCACATTCTCGGACTTCTAGCAACGGCAGTCAGAACTTCATATCAGGCTCTGGGTGCTCCCCAAACTTTGTGTCAAGCCCATTCTCCGCCAGCGTCAGCGAATCCCTTATTGATTGCGTTTTTCACATCGTTCGCTTCCACGGCATGCGCCGTGCACCGCTGACTGAAGGGTGACATACCGCTGCTACCTTCCGCGGTAACTTCCATAGGCTTGCCCAGCATCCTGGGTAAGGGATACCGCCACATGTAAGAATGTGCCGCGTGATATTAGTACGGCGGAAAAAGGACAGGACAATTTAATTGAACCCCCGCGGGCTTTTGTGAATGATTCCGGCTTGTTCTGACACCCTTGGATTCTTCGCGTAGATCTGAATAAAGAAGGGAGCACAAATTAAGTGCACAGAGGTTACTGGCGTGGCCAGTAAAAGATCGAACGAGGCGCGGAACGCATCCTAGTGAAAGTTGTGTGCAAGTGGTGGTGTGATGATGCTAGACACAGGCCTCCCCTGTCCATAGGGCCGAAAGAAGAAATAGAAGTCTAGATTAACTAGTGGATCCTTCTATTATCATAGGAACTGGAACGGGCATTAGTATGAGTTGACTTCCCTGTCAGATGCTTAGCACTAGTTGTATTGACCAATCGTCTTACATCATATGTCCCCAGGTCTACCCAATCCGGCCAGCCAAGCCGATCGGACTTCTTGGTGTGTTATTCGCCAGGATCCGAGTAAAGGCTGCAGGCAGCAAGATCAGGGTTAATGATCCTTAAATAAGTAACTAATCACGCCCTCCTTCCTCTTTAGTGTGGGATACCAGCAATAGTCAGTAACATATACTCTATGTTGGAACGTTTTTCCGCAAGCCGATGTGTTACTGTCTGACTCTATTCAAAGGAAACAACTCTTCAACTATTGAGCTTGGCATTCTCAATAAAAGCCAATTCCTGATCTCGCACACTGAGTAAGACCTCGGACTCCTGAGAGTTCTCGTGGGGTTATTGTATCATGGGCGTATTTGCAGTTGCGGAAGAGCTTGACGCATTACCCGGTGGCGGCATGGTGCCAAACGTTGTGACAGACCGACGAGATCACTGTTGAAATGAGTGTCATGGAAGACAGCCATTTTTGGTGGTAATAACAGTATATAAACAATGTAGTCAGTCGATGATAGATGAATGCAAAATCTGTAAGCCTTAGCACAATCAAACTTGGTGCTTAACGCTGTTTATAATGACATCCATCCATGTGTTCGGCCTGCTGGCCTCGCTCATATTTGCCTTCTGTAGTTTTTCCCTTGCTATCGAGCACTCAGACGGCTCGTCCCCCTATGGCGATGGTTTCGCTCCAGATGTTATTCTTAATGGCACGTCTTGGGACCATGACTATCCCGCTTTTGAGGGCACCAGCGCTCCAGACTTGGGCGGCGACATCGATGACTCCAACGGGACGGACAGCAGCCCAGATCTGAGCCGTAGGGCCGCTCAAGACTTCTATCTCCGAGTCATGCCACTAGGTGCCTCCATCACAGAGGGTGTGCAGTCTACAGACGGCAATGGCTATCGCAAATGGCTCCGGTCTCAGCTCCGGTGGATGGGCTGGAAAGTCATTATGGTTGGCTCCAAGGTGAATGGCAACATGGCGGATAGGGTAAGTCACTGTCATTACAGCCTTGGACAATGTCCAATGTCTGTACAGCGTCCAGTAGTTCTCATCGCCTTGTAGGATAATGAAGGCCATTCGGGATGGGTCATCACCGAGATTCAATCTGCCTTTCGCTCGTCAGCATGGATGATGCCCAACGTGGTACTGATTAACGCCGGAACGTGAGTGCACTGCTTCCAGAACATGGCTGTTCTCCAATTAATCCTGACACCATGCACAGGAACGACTGCAACTACAACACAGATCCGGGCAATGCGGGTGCCCGCCTCAGGGGTATGCTTGACGAAATCTACAATACCGTCCCCGGCGTGACCATCATCGTCTCCACCCTGGCAAGAAGCCGCAACACCGACAGCTGCGCGGGCAGCGTCAGCCAGCAGTACCGCGACCTGGTCAAGAACAGCTACCAGGGCGCGCGCATCGCGGTGGCCGACTTCTACAGCGTCATGCAGATGAGCGACCTCTCCAGCGACGGCATCCACCCGAACAATTTCGGCTACAAGCTGTTTGCCGCGGTTTGGTGGGACGCCATCAGGAGGGTCGAAAGCAGGATCCAGCCCCCGGCGCAGGTTGCGAACCTTGACGACGCGGCTGCCAGTGCGGCGAGGACGTGCAACAAGGTTGCAGGCAATGCCCGCGGCCCGGTCCAATCTCAGGTTGGCAGTGGCCATGACGACGGCAAATACGTACACAATAGGATCGAGAAAGGGGCGCTCATCTCAGCCCGTATTGAGAAGAGAGATGATCCCAAGTCGATCACGGATGCAATTCCGTGGCATATGTTCTTTGCCAACATCGTAGTCAACAACCCGAACTTCAGCCGAAAGGAGGCCCTTGACGACTGGATCCGTGTGTTCCACGATACAAATGGGAGAAACACATACAACTACCGCCAGAATCAGGGTAACGGAAACTTCGGACCATCTACGACCTTCGATGTTGATATGGATTGCAATTCCGGGCCATGTGAGTGGACACAGTCTGCGCCGTAATGACTTCAATCCAAGGCTAATATGTGTTTGTAGTGTATGCATTTGCAGACTTTGTAGGCCTTACTCCTGTCTGATTTGGGAATTACATGCTGACTCAGGCTTTGCTTGGCGAAGAACTAAGAGCTTCAGTGAGTAGTCCACTAAAACTTCAGGTGGTAGACGCTATAACATAGCACTCTCATCGCTATAAGCTTAGTGGACCATCTGCTAAAAGCTTGAGGGTTAGGGTTAATGTAGTGTGAGCTACGTACTGTAAGCACAGACCACCAGCTTTTTTGCTATATTAGGCTTAGTCAAATTGGTTAGCGAAATTAGGAAACTTCACTTTGGATTCAAACCTTTTGCCACCCACTGTACTGTATATCCTTACAGTACAGTACTGTACAGAGCTACAGTACTGTAACCAGCTATCTTATCTAATCTTATCTACAGCTGGTGCCAGGTGCAGGTGCCTTTGGTGCCAACTGGGCCCTATGGTTGCGGCCATACCCGCTGTCAAGGCTTGTTTCCACCAACACTGCCACTGCCACCACCAAGAGAAACCGCGTCCGCCTGCATGTCCAAGAGGCACTTGTCATCGTACGGAATGGTTGCAATCTCCAGGCCGCGCAATGTCGCCGTGCTCAATAGGGTTTGTTCCATCTGCTCGGCCGACAGGGTCCCCCACGCACCAAAGTCTTCCATCAACATGGCGACGTCAAACAAGATGGGAGACGAACGAGATGTAGAGGCGCCGCCGATGCGGCTGAGGCCCGGCCAGACACCGTGAAGCGTGTCGTTGCGCAGCGGGACTGGAACGCCTCTATCGCGCGTGCGCCAGGTGCCCGACTCGGGCTCGAGGGGGAAGTAGTCGTAGACGATCCAGACGGGCTTGCAGTCTCCACGAGCAGCCACATCCACAACCACCTGAAAGCCCGTCTCCTGGAAGCCCTCTGGAGCCCAGCCGATATCGATACCCTGGTAGCGGCGGTTGGAAGGGACCAACAGCGGGCCGATGACATGGACGTACTCGGGGACTGGCATCTTGTCTTTGTTGTTGTCGGCTTTGTTCTGTTGGCCTGCTGGAGCCGAATCGATGCCGGGAGTGTCCGACGGCTGATATGACGGCTGTGCAGAGGAAAAGGAAGAACCTGGTGGTGAAGCTGTTCGAGCGCGAGCGGGAGTAGACTTTCCTGTGGCAGTATCAAGGGCCGTGGTGGTTGAGTGGTCGGGACTGCAGCTTCTCTCCTTTTGCTGCTTCTGCTCCGCGGCCTCCCTCCTTGATCTCCGATTCCTTCTCTTCCTGCTGCTTCTGCTGGTCTTGCGGTTTGACTTGACACTCGAGGCGGCGGCGGCGGTGAGTCCGGACGAAGTGTCATCTTTGTCTTCTTTGAGCGATTGGAGGAGGAGGGAGGGGTTGATTTGGAGCCGGCGGACATCTGTGATGGTTGGGCTGTACGGCTGGCCCACCATGGCCTTGGTTTTGGGGTACACTTGTAAGCATTCGGTTTTGCAGGTGGCAAGACGGTGCTTCTGTTGTACATCGAGTGCGTCGGGGGTGTCTTGGTGTGGACTGAGGCTCTGCTGCAGCAGATGAGGAACGTAGGTAGAAGCAGCGGCATCACCAGCGGCATCACCAGCGTCAATGTAGAGAAGGCTGTCCTCGGGGATGTGCTCAGCCTTGCGGTAGAGTCTTGTGCAAGGGCCGCGGTGGGGATCGGCGAGCCAGAGAGAGAAGTGGTAGTGTCGCAGGGTGTCGACGTAGGCTGTGACGGCGCGGTCGGCCAGGAGAGCCTCTTGCGCCAGCTGGGCGGCCTTGAGGGTCTTGGGGGGGAGAATAAAGACGAATCCTTCACCTGCAGGTGCTGCGTCGTGTTGCCGCGGTGGCAAATGCAAGTTGAGGGGCAGGGGCAAGCGCAACGGCGGTGTGTCTTGGTCGATGACGATCTGGTTGGTCTTGGCGTCGAAGGCCAGTAGGAGGGCTTGGCTCTGGTAGCAGTAGGGTTCCAAAGGTTCGGAACTGTCGCTGTCGCTGTCGAGCTGATAGCTGTCGCTGTCGAGCTGGTAGCTGTCGCTGTCGAGCTGGTAGCTGGAGGTCGAGGTCGCCATGATGGATGGGGCTGTAGAATGCTGGCAAGTCGCAAGTCGCAAGTGTGTAGTGTGAACGGGAGTGAGGCTGAGATAAGCGGCGTGGCAGCGATGGAGACAGAGACAGAGAAGACGACGATGGTGGTAGAATCAAAATCGCATCAATGAGTTCCAGGTTGAGTGATCCACGGAAGCAGTTGCCTGGTCTCGAATCAAGGGGGAGGTATTTGGTGAGGTGGTTCCAGGTTGTAGGTGAGTGGTTGAGTGACTGAGTGAGCAAGTTAAATGATCAAGATGAGAAGAGGAAAAGAAAGAGAGAGGAAGAGAGAGAGAAGAGTTAGGGGAGAAGGAAGAGAGGGAGGAGGGGCGGGGAGAAACCCGTTTGTCTGTTTGTCTGTCGGGTTTTGGACTCTGATTTTGTGGCCTCTAACTGAGCCTTTTGCCTTTGCTTCGCTTTTGCTCTGCTTTGTATGGGTTGAGTCAGCAAAACCCCGAAACCAAATAGGTATTCCCATAAATCCAAATGTAAGTACACCTACCTGAACATACCTACCTTGGGCATAGGCATCCATGTATCTACCTAAATGAATACCTACCAGATCAGGTACATGTGCACCAGCATGCATCTACCCACATCTCGTCATCCAACCTACCTAGGTAGGGGTAGGTACATATCCCAACCTTGAAGGCTACAACTTGAGTGTCCCGGTCCTGATCAATCTCCAGGAGCCTCGGATCTTGGATCTTGGATCTTGAACCAAAACAACCGACGATGGCTGCTGACCGTGTTGCTCCTCTTTGCTGCTTTATTTGGTCGATGACGATGGAATCATGTTTTCTCGTGGCTTTCTCACCAACCTAACCTTCGCCTAGGCGCCCTCAACCTCAACTCTACCTATCGCGACATTGGAGTCATGCAAAGAAAGGAAGGAAGTGAATCCCCCCACCTCCACAGCTAAGGTGTCAGCTCCATCACGGATGGCTACAGCTACAGCTACAGCTACAGGAAGCCAGCTGAATGGATAGCAAGCAGCCTAGACCTACTTGGATGGATGGGCGGCAGGGCTGGTACTGTTTGTCTTTGATCTTTGATCTGAAAGGCAGCTGGATCACTCAGAATGGCAGACAAGCAGCCTCCGTTTGACACTCGCCCTCTCTCTTTTGGGTTTCCAAGATGACTGATAACTAGAAGAGGGCTCGAGAAGTCATGGAACCTCTTCAATCCTCCTCCAGCTGCTCTGCCACCCAGCCTCAGCCTGTCCTGGTTTGAGTCCATCAATCCCTCCCGTCTGGCCGTGACAAATTTCTGGTTTTTGGTCGCCGTTGTGTTCCTATCCTCATTATCACCAGCACCAACACCAGCAATGCATGTCTACGTCGAGACCAACCCACAGAGCCGGCCACGTCTCCCTGATGCCGACCTGGTTCCTGACGACAGCGAGCACACACTTAGGAGAGCAACCCAGCTTTGCCGCCTCTATGCTGCAATCCTGTTCGATGTCGTGGCTATGGATCTCTCTGCTGGGGAGGACGAATCTGTACTGATCGTCCGCCTTATCGCACACATAACGGACAGACTCCTTACCGAAATTACTCCGAACCTCAGCATTACTTCTCCGGCTAGAAATGCCTTCAAAAGGTCCCTCGCAAAGCTACAGGCAAGGTTGAAGTCGGTACCTCAGCTGGACCCTGATGGTCCTCTGCCATGCGCACCACCCCTCGAACTCTTAGTCAGGCTATATGCCAAGGCTCAAACAGACCTTTTCACCATCGGTAAGTATCATGTTGAAGAATGCCACAGCCACCGGCAGCCAGCCAGGGTTTTCTCTTGATGTTTTACCAGACCGTCCAGACCACCCAGACCACCTGAGCACTCACTCTCTTCACCCACCACAAAAAAATAGCCCAGTGACACACAAAACAACCGGCTCACCATGCGAGTCAACGCAGAGGACTATGAGCGCCGCCTACCCAAACTGATTACGACCGGCGTTCTCTCCAGGAAGTCGTCTTTCGCCATCGGCCAGCCTGCCAAGCTGTTTGTCTGCATTAGCGACTCTTCCCCTCTCCTCACGACACGGCTGCCCCTGTCGTCGGCGCAGCAGCAGCAAGGCACGATTGGGACCGGCCCCACACCCACCCAAGTCCACATCATCGCGAGCAGCGCCGACCACTTCACCGGCTTCCCGCTGCTGCAGGACTGGGCCCGCGACGCCCACGAGCAGCGGAAGCGCAGCTTCCCCGCCCAGAACAAGGATGCCCTCCACCTGACGCGTGCATTCTACGAGGCCTGGCACAGCGCCATGCCCACCGAGAGCCCCGCGAGCCGCCAGGTCCTTGCCTTTTGGAACTTTGTTCATCAATGGACTAGTCAAGGGTCTGCCTTCCCAAGCTCCTCCACGGGTCAGCCTCCTCCTACTTCTTCCTATCGTGGTGCTGGTGCTGGTGCTGGTGCTGTTGACCTTGGCGCTGCCTTCTTTGACCACTGGGACAAGACCGCCACAGCACTGGACGCCAGAAACAAACTCAAGGTATGCCCCCGGTGCCCCAAGTGCCGCGGCATCTTCCTATTCGCACAGTCATGGAGCAGCCTCGTGTCGGAGAACATTGACCCCAAACAGCCCCTCCAGAAGCCGTCCAGCCACACGCAGGAGTTTGGGAGCGGGTCGTGCGCAGAGCACCTCGGCCATCTTTTCTGTCTGGACCTCTGCCGCAGCCGCGGTCAGGGTCATGGTTATGGGGAGGCCGTCGTCACTGCGGGCGGCGGGGTGGTGGCAGAGGAGCCAATGCAGGTGCAGGGACAGGGACAGGGGCAGGGGCAGGTGCAGACTAGGAACAACGAGCGTCTCGAGCACAGCGGCGGATGGAATGTGGTGCAACACCACCGGGCTCGAGGAGGCCAGCGAGGCGGTGCAGGATGGGGACAGTGACGGGGACTGGAACGGGGACGAAATGACCGCATGGAATCGAAAGCCGCCTCTTGCTGGTCGGTGACAATGCCGCCAGTGTGTGGATTGGCTGAATGAGCAGAGTTATTCCTACCATCTAAAGCTCACCATATCATGTATGCTCCTTGGATAGCCGCCACAATGTTGTCTTTCATCGTGTTCAGCCTGATTTATTGAATGACCAAGAAACGTTTCCCTTCGGTTCTCAAGTTTACCTGGGTATCATGTCGCAAATGAGATGCAAGCCGTCAATGCACTCTGTGTACCGACAGGCGTTGTTTCTATCATGAGACATCCCGAGTTAGCCCGTCCTGAATGGTACTTTCATCGGCGTGAGAAGCCAGCCAAGATCGTAAAGCGTCTGGGTTCACTGCTAAACAAACCGGATGCTGGCGAACGATGCCCCCACTCAGATCTTGTCAAGGAGCCATGACACTATCTTGCTCTATTCCCTTTTGAACGTGAGATGTGGTCATGCCTCGAGTAACCCGCCTTTGAGGGACGCCTCAGACTTGTCCAGCTTCTGGCCCATCAGGAGGCCTAGCATCGGCTTCATATCATCCAGTAGTCCACTGTGCTGTGTTTCGAATGAGCTCTTCACGTTGGCGAGCTTCTCATCTAGCGTCTGTTCAAAGTTTCTCGAGTGTAGCCCTGGCAGCTTTGGTGTACTGACCGATATTCTGAGCTTGTACTTGCACCTCAACCAGACGGGTCTCCAGACCATGCACACTCTCCTCAGCATCGCCGGCAGCCCTGCACGCCTCTTTTGTGCTTTGGTGTTTGCGCGGTTTTCAGAGCTCCTAGCTCGGCGTTCATGCTCGTGAGGAACCATAATTTCTCACCTGTGCTGGCGTATGATTGCTTTATAAATATAATAATAGAAGCCTTATAAATATAGTGGTAGAAGCTCTATAACTATAGTAGTAAAAGCTCCATGAGAAAATAAATACTTTGATAGTACTTGTTTTGTGAGTACTGTTACTAGTTGATACTAACGTTAGGCCTCTGTAACTCGTCGCGGCTGTAACCGGCACCTTAAGTCGGGACTGTCCGTAGTGGGGTGCATAGTAGCGTCCCGCTATTATGGTGAGGAGAAACCCAGACATGCTGACTAATTTACACCTATCACACGATAGCGGGGAAAGCTTGGGAACGAGAGGTGATATCTATGTCACCAAGCCAGCATGACTCAACCACATCATTTGCAGGTGTTTCAGTTGAAGGAAGAGGAACGAGAAGCACTGGTCGGGAGCATTCCATCTATTGAAGCATGCTTGACTCGTGTTGATGACATTGAAGTGAGCAAGGACGCGTCTGCAAGCTTCAATGCCATCCGGCGATTCGCTGACGCATTTCAATCAACGTTATGGAATCATGTGGGTGTTCCCATTCCCCTATCGCAAACAGTGGTAACAAACCTCCGTATAGTTTCGGTCTACCGTGCAAATTGCTCCTCTCCGCATATCGCAGTTCTACACACTTCCTGTGCACGACCCTCCCTTCCTCCTCGTGCCAGCAGACATATCGGAAGGCGCCAATGTTGGGGGTGTGAGAGTGGAGGTAGGCTCATATGTCTACTTGACAGAAAACGTCAAGGTAGATCCGACATTGTTATGTCTGGTCCTGAAGGCGTACAAGTAACAAGCATATCGATAGAAACATAGTGGTATGATGGTCCCCACAGGATGGCGATACTCCTGACAACCTTGGCGAAGTCGTTTTGTGGGACAGTACGTCTGGCTTGGCTGAATTCACGCATGGCCAGCCAGTGCATCCATCGAGAGGTATAGAAGTCAATGATCCTGTCTACAGCATCATGACACCTTCGTGCTCTTGCTTCATCGTTGATCCCTTGAGCCTTCAGACTATTGGTGATATTGTTATTGCCAGACATTGGCATTTGCACCTCAAGCATACATATGTCAGGTGAGAAATTCCCCGGCTGAGCAGCGTTGACTCACGTGGTGCGACGAATCGTAGGAGGAATGAGCAACAAGGTGCCGTTGCCCCCTAGCTGGCTGGCGATGGCTTTATATTTCTCTCCAATCCTGGCCCATTCCGTACTCCTTTTCACAGTGTTGTCGTAGTACTGCCCACCCGACGATAAGTAGGCAACGAAAGAGAGCTTCGTGTTGAGGAGATTGAAGGCGCTTCGTAGATCGTGGAATAAGATTAGATAGATACGTCGTCTGATGGCAGCGAGGCCGTCATCTTCATCCAGGCTCGACAACTCCTGCAGTCTGGTGAAGAGCTGTCTAGGTGGCACATCTGCCGATAGATCGAAAAAGGTTTCAGGCGTTTTGATCCATGCTTCGACTTGTGCCGGTGTGACGCCATTATCGACTATCAGGCGGGGTTTCGGTGAGCCGAAGACTGCGATGGCGCTTTGCAGATCAGGAGGCAGGCTATGCCAGTGTTCTTTAAGATCCAACAAGCAGTCCTTGACGGCAGCGAGGAACTGAGCAAGTTAAATAGGTGCGCAGAGAGGCAAAGGGTTGCCTTACAGCAGGATCTCTGAGCGTGGTTTGGGCGAATGTGTCGCCTTGGGTGTTGCTAATTGCGGACAGCAGATGGTTTGCAAGGGTTTTGCTAGGGGCAACACCCATGGTCAGGAGCGCTTCCGAGCGGTGGCAGATGGGTGATTGAGTCTCGGCTCTATGAACGGCGCCAATTGACTGAAGTGAGATAGCATCCAGAACTGGTGTGCCGGAGATGGGTCTGGCGCATGAGCATAGCACAGCATGCCGACGCGGATGCGGGATGTGTCAGGGGTGGCGGCGCTTTATCACGACAAGGATTGGCTTGGTGGATATAACTCACTACCTGTAGAGCAAGTACGTCAGGCCTGTTCGGTGATGCGGAGCAACATGTGATTAGCGCCACGCTAACCGGAGCGAAACCTGAAACCTACTCTTGATTGGTTACGATCAAGACACTCGGCAAGCCCCGATCGACGCTAGATAATAGGTTGTCTGTACACGTGTATGTATGGGCCGGCCCGCTTCATATCCATAGTACTCGAGTACGTGTGAGTGTGGAGGTCGACGGTCTGTTCCAAGGATTATCAAAGCTCTCAAAATCGAAAGACACATCAGTCATGCATCCTACATGCTGCAATTGCCTGTTGAGCCGGTCGACCCATTAAGACGGTTCCCTCCAGGTTACAACAAAACGAGGCAACGATCGACGAAGTGCTGAAGCCTAACCGCTTCCCGCTTCCTACAGGCGCTTCTGTGGGCATGACTCGAAACACCAAGTAGAGCAAATGAGCTAAGAAGGAACTCCGGGCTCGAGAGCACAGCCACCGGAACAGCCAACTGTGTACGGCTACGTTGACAGAGAACTTAGCATATGCTAGGTATATGCTAGGAGAGTTAGCTGCTTAGATAGGTGTTGCAGCTGTTCTAAGTGCTGTAGGTAGGTTGGTGCTATAGATGCTGTAAGTGTTATAGGTGCTGTAGGTAGGTAGGTACTATAGTTACTATAAGTACTATAAGTGCTAGTATTTAAAGCTGCTCACCCGCATGGGCTGCTCAGCCGTTCCCGCCGTCGCGTCCCTGCCGGAGATGGTTCTCTACGCCGCCGCCTCTCGCTTCGACGCCATTCTTGTCGACGTCGATGTTCCCGGCGATATGGCACCAGCCAAGACGACAGGCGTGCGCTTGCGGACTCTCTGCGCGTCGTGTACCGGCACGGCGGATGCCCAACGCGGACACCCCCCTGGTCGCCGTCACCGGCGCAACAGGTACAGGTGCAGGTGCAGGTGCAGGTCTCGTCTTTGCCGCCGAGGTGGCCAGGCCGGCGGCCGTCGAGTCTACAGACGGGGCAGTTGGATGATCCATGTCTACTGTGAGAAACAAGCTGTCACGCAAAAGAAAGGCTTCCCCCCGGCGCACTGGTCATCTAAGGTGAGATAGGTCTGCTACATCATATCACCCTAGTAGTAGAATACAATGGACCCTGTCAGCGTCAGTCCCCCTCGCATAGTTCAATGAACCCAGGTTGGTCTCGCCTGGCATGGCATGGATAGTTAGGGAAGGGTCTGCTTGCACATGACGGTATCTGATATCACCCCCGGGCCAAAAAATTAACACCCATCCAATCTATGTATGCGCCGTCCCGCCGGTGCCGGCCCCAGACGCCTTCCTCGCCTCAGCGTCCATGTTGGACAAGCGCGCAATTACTCGTCAGTCCACGCGCCGAACTCGTCCTGGCTGACGCAGCCGTCGGAGTCAGAAAGACGCGTGCACAACGGGTTGGCGAACATATCGTCGTCGTCCTTTTGATCCTCCGCCCCTACCCACGTCCAGGATGGCTCCGCGCCGTCGCCACTGCCGCCACGACGCTCGAGCAGCCACTCAAGCTTCCCGATCATCCAGTCGGCAATCCCGCCGCTGGACTCGGAGTCGGTCTCGGGCCCGAAGCTGTGGGCGTGCGGACTCATGCCCAGTCCGCGGCGGAGCAGGGCGTTGCGCTCCCAGTGGTCAAACTCGCGGTAAACGTCCCAAAACGACACGGAGATGCGATCCTGCGCTTCGCGCACCTGCCAGCATAGGCCGTTGAACAGGCCGCCCGGCCGAGGCCCGACGGCAAGGCTGTACACGACGACGTGCTGCACGCTGGCACCATCGCCGGCAGGCCGTGCTAGCTCGGTGCACTCTTGCCGGAGGGACTCGTCGACGTGGTAGTCCTCGTCTGGGCTCGAGCCGGGCGGCGGGATGTCCTCGCATATGTAGGCCAGTTCCTCCAGGTCATCGTCGTTCATCAGCACCATGGACACATTGTCGATGCTCTGTGGCCCCAGTCCACCTCTTCTACCTCCAAGACCGGGCTGCATGAGCGGCCGTATCCGGCTTCGTATTGAGACCACAGTCGCTGCAACTCGCCAGAGATGGAGGCCAGGCCTGCGTCGGCGTCTCGAGCCTGTTCCGCTAGCTCCAGCAGGGAATCGCCAAAGTGTCTCGCAGCAGTGGTTTGGTTAGCGAGTGCCCGGGCCACGTGCACTGCTAGACCCGTGATGGTAGCCTCATGAGTTCCCAGACTTGTTGTCCACGTGTTGGCTTGTGCGGTCTGTCCTGACCCATCCTCGAGGGTCGCCACCGCGTCAAGCACGTTGTGGTCAAGCCGGGATATGACCACAGCCACCTCGCGGGTCAACTTGACCACCTTGCTTGGTAATTCTTCGTTTACCGCAAAACAATCCCTCAGACTGCGGAGTTCCCAATATTTCGCTTCGCCTTCGCGAAGTGCACCAACGCGCCCGGAAGAGCCTCCAAACAGGTCCAGCAAGTCGATGCTCTGGGTCCAGAACGAAATGCGTGCTTCCAATACAGATCGGCCCACTCGTCCGTCACGTTGCGTAGTAGAGGCTGCCTTCCATGGCATTTCGTACACGACGCCGGAGCTACGGATGCAGCAGAATGCACACAGTGCTGGCACCACTCGTCAAGTACGTGCTCAATCTCGAAGAGCAAGCGGCGAGGGCCGACGGGACCAGTGGAGAACGATCGCTGCCGGGGCTCATGGAGGCAAGGTTGTCTGCGATGTTGACGTATGAGGTAACGAATCGGCCGACCGTGTCGAGAACGGGATGCCTGCGGGTGTGACGGCTGAGTACGGTCGGTAGTGGCGGCGGGGATGATTGCGGAGGTATGAGTACGCAGAGAGTGGAGAAGGCGAAGGAGATGGCGACGAGTCTGAGCAGATGGGCTCCAGCAGAAGACCGTGTCCGCCGCTGCTCGCCTGCCTGTTGGTCTGGCCCCTGGGCGTCCAAGGCGTGGGATTGGAGCAGGAGAGTCTGTCCGGAGCTCTCGTGTGTCGAGGACGATGATCGAGAGGGAGGGCGCGGAATCCGGCGGGTACAGAGCGAAGGGATCGTCCGAGTAGTAGACAATATAGTTGGGTGGGCAGGGTCAAGGGGCTTTGTCCCAGGCACTGCCTCGGCGGACCGACACCCTGTTAGACTCCTTCAAGGGACCGGCATCGTTGTCTCGAGAGCTCCCGAAGAAGGATATTGGAGTTGTCGGCGAAGGGGAGAAGGAATTATCCAAATACAGCTCAAATGATTGTAAAGGGTCACGTTTAAGGACTTGCTGTGTCGCGACGTCTTCCCCTTCTTCGTCCTCATGCTCATCTTCGTCTTCGAGCCCGACATCAGCCCTGCACGCGTATTCGTGTTCGTGATCATGCGCGTGTACGTGCGCGTTCTCGTCCTCGTCGTCTGAGCTCTGGAGTTGAGTTCCCAGCTCATACTCGTCCAGCTCCGAGGAGCGATGCAGTCGCTGGCCTTGCTCTTGTCCGTGTAGCTCCTGTAGGTGCGTCGAAAGCAGATCTGGAGACGGCTATCTCGCGAGTTTGGGGATGGGGCCGGGAGACTGTGGATGTCGAGGGCGTAGGCCGGTGCTGGAGTTGGCCCTAGGCTTGGGCCCAGGGTAGAGCCGCACTTGGAGACGCAAGATCGACAGGCGATGCCGTCGCTCCCATTGCATCTGAGACTCGTCTTGTCGGTGGGCGAATTGGCTCGGCCTCGGGCAGGCTGCTATACTAAGGAGCCGATCATGTGTTTGTGTTTGTGTTTGTGTTTGGATTTCGTGCTGGAGGAAGAGCACCCCACCCGACGCGTGATCGTCATGGGTGATGAGGAAATGGCGGCGCCGGTGCTTTTGTCGCCGCTCGCGACGCTGGGTGAGGCTTTCAGTGATTGTGCAGCTGAAGTTGGAGAGCTCATTGACGACGGCAGCGGGCGGAACTTCCAATATTCCGAAGCACGGAGACGATTACGCCGGCTATGAGCGAGAGTACGAAGAGAGAAGCCCGCCCGACTGCCTGGCTCTAGAGAGGCTCCTGTCAAAATTCTTTGACACTGGAAACTTTTGTAATCTCTTGAAGGCAGTCTGTCGAGGCACCGACATCTTCAAGGCCATTGCTCTGGGAGCAGATTTCTGCCTTTCTGGTCGTGTACCAATCTGGGGTCTCGCCTGAAATGGCGCAGCTGGGGTTGAGCTTGCGCTGAAGACACTGAAGGCCGAGTTCGAAACCGCAATGAGTCTGGCTAGATGCAAGATGGTTGCGGATATCTCGACACATCACCTAAGTGTCCTGAACTCTAAGAATCTGGTTTGTAGGCTCGAAATGCTTATAGGTCTGTGCCATTGATGAGGCATGTCACAATCAACTGTAGACTAGGAGCTTATCTGATCCGAACGGCACGACGAAGATAGAGAAACCAAGGTTCGAAGTCGTAGATAAAGCTAGATGTTAGTGGGTAGTCCGTCGGATAACTTGCACCCAATTATGGAACTCGTTGAAGTCTGATTGGTCGATTCGGCAACTGTGCACTTGGATTATGAGGCAGTCAACGGCGTGACGTTCCGCGCGCATTGAGGGGCCGCTCCGCATGTAAGCTGTTAGCGAATCAATGATTCATCTCCTATACTTGACCTGTTGCTACTGGATAATAAAGCTAGCAAGATATCGAGAATGAGATAAATATTACTGCACGATATACTCAAGCTCTTCGCCGCCGAACTGTAGAATAATTGGACGATTCGGGAGACAATCTAACAGTAATTTACCTTTGCTTGCTTGAAACGCTCTACCAATCATGACTTCCATGCAAGAGGTGTTCGCAAAATACAAAGACAGGGTGGCTGTCTTGGAGCAGAGCAGCAACCCGTTCTCGAAGGGCGTGGCTTGGGTTTTTGGTGAATTGTTTCCTCTCCATGAGGCGAAGATTCCACTACTTGATCAAGGGTTCCTACGCAGCGACTTGACATACGATGTGCCAGCTGTCTGGGACGGACGCTTCTTCCGTCTCGACGACCATATGGCTCGGCTCGAGCTCAGCTGTCAGCGGTTGCGGCTACAAATGCCCTTGTCAACCAAGGAGATCAAAGATGTTCTGATTGACATGGTGGCAAAGAGCGGCATCCAAGATGCGTTTGTTGAGCTCATCGTGACTCGCGGGTTCAAGAGTGTCAGAGAGGCGAGCGAGAAGGGCATGACCAACCACATCTATCTGGTAGTGATGCCTTATGTCTGGGTGATGGATCCTCAGGTCCAGCTGAGCGGCAACGCTTCTGCTGTTGTGGCCAGGACAGTGCGACGCATTCCGCCAGGCTCAATAGATCCGACGGTCAAGAATCTGCAGTGGGGAGATTTCGTTCGAGGGCTATTTGAGGCACGAGATCGTGAAGCAATGTATCCCTTCTTGACGGACGGGGATGCCAACCTTACCGAAGGGTCGGGATTCAACATCTGCCTCATTAAAGACGGCGTGCTATACACCCCTGACCGTGGTGTGCTAGAGGGCATCACTCGCAAGACTGTCTTCGATGTTGCCAAGATACATGGGATCCCCTATCGGCTCGAGGTTGTACCTGTGTCCCTAGCTTATGAGGCAGATGAGATTTTCACATGCACAACAGCAGGCGGTATTATGCCCATCACATCTCTGGATGGACGGCCGATCAAAGACGGCAAGATAGGACCCCTGACGACGAAGATATGGGATACATACTGGGCGTTGCACTCCGACCCTGCTTACACGACGAGGATCGACTATTCTGGTAGTAAGGCCATTGCGAAGCTATGAGGTCACCCATAAGACACAAGAAAGTGTAAATATGTCCGCAGTCGCAGAGAAACTCTATTGTCAATCGAGAGGATGGAGTCAAATTTTGCCTCATCGTGATGTGTCCTCACAGCCACATCACTTGTGGAAAGCCGAGCCTTCCGGCTGCAGATGTATATAAGGATAGCATGCTTACAAACGTCTCCGAGTGCTTGAGACGATTGAACAACAATTCCTTGGATTGCCAGAATGCTTGGAAAGTACCATGATATGCACCAGAAGCTACAGGAGAATTTGCATCCCAAATAAGCTCGACGCAGAATGGAACACAGGTAAGGAGTAGTGCGTAAATGTAACTGCGGGGTCGGGGTGGACCAATAGTGAATCGAATCGCGGGCGGGCAGCTGAACCGTAGCTGGTCGCTAGTCGCTGGTTGAGGTAAGCATTGGAGCCACGGAGCATCTTCACCTTAAACGCCTCCCCAACCTTCGCTCTTCTCTTCTGACGATTCGAGTGTTTCTGCTACTTTCTTCTAGCAAATCCATGGAGATGCATCTGTATCCCATTTCCCTTCAATCCTGAAGCTCATGCCAAGCGTGTTCGTTTCATTGCAAGGCAGCTAGCTAGCAGAGGTGCAGCCGCTTCTGCCGGCCGGCGTCTATTGCATCGAGAGCTATGGCTAGCTGGTCAGCCTTCCTCTTGACTTACCTCCTTGGTGGAGTCACCTTCATTCCCTTGGTGTTGATCACTGTGCTTCTTCACGCCTACCTTACGCTCCCCTACCGCGACGATGTCGAGCCGAAACCGATCGAAACGACCGATGACGACATCATCCAGCCTGGCGACGACCTGGGGCTGCTGAAGGCCACTCAGAAGGAGCTTAGGGATGAGGAGAAGCCAAAGAATAACCACCATGAGACGGAGGTCGCTGCCGGGTATTTTGCCGTGTGCCGTGAATACACGCCAATGGGCATCAATGCGAAACCCATTGAGCGATCGACACCCGTTGGTTCTACGACTGTCGCTGCACCAAGTCCAAGCGTCTACCAAACTATGTACCGGAGCATCTTTGAGAGGAAGCACACTCCAGGCCCTCTAGATAATAACAAGAGCATAAGTCAACGGCCCAAGAAGGCAGGCAATGTGTTTTATGTGGTACTTCGGTATGTAGAGGCTCTGCGTTGGGCGAATCTCCCGGTACTAATGTGTGCAGGCACGGCCACTTGATGCTTTTCGATGACGACGAACAACTCGAGGTCCGACATGTTATATCGCTTGCACATCATGACATCAGCATTTTCTCGGGAGGAGATACCACGCCAGAAGGCGAGCTCTTTATCAAGAGAAATGCACTATGTCTGTCACGGAGGACGGATGGGAAAGAGCTGGGTCCCGACAGTCAGATATCCAAACCATTCTATCTGTTCTCCGAGAACTGTTCTGCAAAGGAGGACTTCTACTTTGCCCTTCTGCGGAATCAAGAACAATACTTCACAACCGACGGACGAGCGCCAGCACCGTTGAACTTCGAAGTCAAGGACATAATAGCGCTTGTCCAAAAACTACACTCGTCCGAGGATCAGTTGCAAACAAAGTGGCTCAATGCTATGATCGGGAGGATATTCCTCGCGCTGTACAAAACCGCGGATATAGAGAACTTCATCAGGGAGAAACTTACCAAGAAGATCTCCCGCGTCAAGCGTCCTGCGTTTTTGTCGAATATCACTATTCAGAAGATCGACACGGGTGAATCTGCGCCGATCTTCACCAATCCACGTCTGAAAGACTTGACCGTCGAAGGCGAATGCTGTATCGAAGCAGACGTTCGTTACACTGGAAACTTCAGACTTGAGGTCGCAGCAGTCGCCCGGATAGAGCTGGGGACTCGCTTGAAGGCCCGAGAGGTGAATCTTGTTCTGGCCGTCGTAGTACGCAAACTCGAAGGCCATGCCTACTTTAAGATCAAGCCCCCGCCAAGCAATCGTCTCTGGTTCACTTTCCAACAAATGCCGAAGATCGAGATGACGATTGAACCAATCGTCAGCACGAGACAGATCACTTACACTGTTATTCTTCGTCAAATTGAGAACAGAATCAAGGAGGTCATTGCTGAGACGTTGGTCCTCCCCTTTTGGGATGACACGCCTTTCTTCCGCACAGAGCACAAGAAGTGGAGAGGTGGTATTTGGGTGGGAGATGATGCCGTGCAATCTTCGGGTGACTTGGAGACAACAATCACTCAAGTCGGCGACGTTGATGATGTGGACACTATAGAAAATGGTGGTTTACCCTCACCGGGAGAGCTACCACCTATGGAGAAGAGCCACAGTGTTCCGGTCATAGAAAGCACGGCAACAACAGGTCTGTTTGGGAGGAAACTCAGCAACAAGAACGCAAAGGATCAGAAAGCCAATGCCTCGTCGGTCACGGTCGCTTCTCCAGGGCTGGATAATTCCGAAATTGCTGGCTCTTCCACCAGGGTTGACCCTGCAACCGAGACACCGTTGAAGCCGAAAGCAGAGAGATCAGGCTCATTCGTTCAAGAATCTATAGCCGTCGTTGGGACAGATGCCGTCTACGCTGATATCTTCAAGCCGTCCTCTTCACCGCCGGGTGAAAGCCCGGCGATATCTGCAATGGCTAAATTATCAGCTCGGTCATTGACTGGCACGCCTTCTGGAACGCCCCTCGCGTCTCCACATAGAGCTTCCATCGTGTCAAATGCGTCAACCCATTCTTCAGCATCTTCCACGAGAGAAGGCACAGACTCGGAGAGGGACAATGACCAGACCCCGAAATCCCAGGCAAGGCGCCACACCGCGTCATCAGCAGAAAGTGTGGGCCAGGACAGCACTCCCAAGTCTCCTGCTATGTCAACCAAAAGCTCCATCAAGAGCCAAGCGGGCTCGCTAGGTCGCGGGTTCTTCTTGAAACGAGAAAATTCTGGACATCCTCTGGCTCCCGATTCGCCCGGCAGTGCTGACTCTCCAAAACGAATTTCCCTAGCGGCAGTATCTAATGCGGCCGAGGCAGCCAAGCGGTGGGGATGGAATGCTTTGCAGAAGAAAGGCGAGGGCAAGAACGGACATTCGGCAGAGTCGCAATCTCAAGTCGACCTCACCAAGCCGATGGGCGGTGGACAGCCTCTGCCGCCACCTGGTACTCCGTTGCCAATGCCCGACAAAAGATCCAAAGTCACTCCAATCCCAGTTCCGAAGCGGAAGCCCATCCCACCTCCACCTCTACCAGATCGTAGACATCCCGAAGAGCGGCAGCCGGAGATCAAACGTCGGCCGGTCCCACCACCCCCTCTACCAAAGCGCCGACAGGTAGCCGAGAATGATGGTCAAGGGAACGAGGATATGCTTGTAGTGGCTGCACCGTTAGCTGACTCGGAACCAACGTCACCAGTGGCTGAAGAGCACGAGGACTATCTGCATCCCTGGGTTGCGGACGTTGAGGATGATGATGGAGGAGAAGCAACACCAAGTCAAGAGGTTTCTACGGGCGAAAACGAGCCGGAGGGACCTGCCACTGTTACTTTGCACGACTCCAAATTCTCGCCTGAGCTGGGAACAGAGCCGGCGGATCCTCGCGAAGAGGCGGAGGAGGATGACGATTATTCTGCTTGGATGGACAACCCAGTAGAGGACGAGCCGGCCAGTGCTCCTCCAAAGGAAGTGATAGCCTAGTGAGGCCGCCAATGTGGCTGATAAGCTAGCATAGTGATGTTCATCAGATGGTCTTGAACTAATAGATGCAAGGGAGATTATGTTTGATTTACGGTAGGCGTCTAGGTTATACCGATACGATTTTTGGAGCTTATAGGCATACATACCCGCATCTTGAAGTAATTGTAACTTATCATGAAAGCTTTTTCATTCTCAACATGAGATCGATCTGTTGTATGCTGTGTCGAGTTCTGCCTACGGACTGTCGTTGGGTTGCAACTGCTTGTCATAGCTATTATCAAAGCAGTTTGCTGTTTCGCTAAAAAAGACTTTGTCTTGTTGAGAACTTTCTTGTTGTATTAGTCGAGGAGCAGAGCAAGGAAGACCCCAAGTACCTATCTATCTATGCGCCCGGGCTGGACTGAGGAAGGGGTGCTCCACGAAGCCACATGACACCATTCGGTGCTACGCAACACATCAAGAGCCCGGCCAGTCTGCCCACCCAATCGCTCTCTTTACAGAACAGCCCCAAGCCTATCGCCATCCTCTCGCTCTAACCTCGACGCCGTGAAACCATCCATCCTATCCATCCCGTCAAGTGTCTGGCGATGGTCCCACTATTACGATGAGAGAGAACTAGAGGTCGTGGTCGTGTGGCGATCATGCCGGGCATGGCGGTCTCTCGTTGATGGGTAGACCCTGCCGGTGTAGCGGATGGTAAGGCTGTAGAGCTGATAGCAGCCCATTGTAGCAAGCCTTGTTTCTGTTGCTGTTGCTGTTTGTATAGTATAGGTGCCCGAGGATACATGAATGCTTCTGCCACCGCCATCGTGATACCGCCACTACGACAATGGGCGGCGGCGGCGGCGACATAGCTGGAGTAGCGCTTTTGTGCGTTGTCGGGATGAGTGACGGCATGGAAGGACCGTGTCGTCTCCCTCCGCTGTGCCAACGCGTAGCGGTCGACACAGCGCTGCTTGAAGGACGCCCGCAGCTCACTAACAATCGCATGGCCCTTGCTAAAGGCCTTCGTGTTGTCCGCAATAGCCTGCAAATCTGCAGCCTCCTCGGCGACGGCGTGGATGTCTGCCAGGGGGGCGTCGATCACGGCGGCAAGGTCGTCATCGCCACGCGGGAGACGTGGGTCGAAATCGTGGAGCTCGAGTTTGAGAGACTGGGACGAGGCCGGGGTGATAGCCATGTGTTCCGTCTCAAGGCCTGCCTCTGTGAGACAATGGAGGCCATGGCCATCGTCAACATCCTTGGTTGTGGCAGAAGCGAGGTGCTTCTTGATGCGGACAATAGTCATGGTTAGTTCCACCCGCTGCTTCTCGTGGTACTGCTTGCCCTTGCTGTTGAGAAGTAGCCGTTTCTGGGGTGTACGGTACTTGCAATTGATGATGATCACTGTGCGGACCGCACCGCCGGTTCCTAGAATGTAGTCTATTTCCCCCTCGCCGTCAGCTGGGATACGGATGTATGGCTGTGTAGGACTGATGTAAGGGAGAAGGGTGGGATTGATTTGCCAGTTGCGTGGCTGGAAAAGGGAGACCGACCTTGAGCTTTCTGGAAACTTGTCTTGCTAGAAAAATCAACTTCGACGATGATAGGCTTGGGAAGTTGCCAGGTCCACCCAATCTGGCCATCGGGCCGTACGCTCCCATCGAGCAACGTTTCATTAAGGCTGTAGCGAAGGCGGCCCGGCTGAAGGTCGATGAGATGTTGCTGCTTGGCCAGGCTCTGCTTCTGGTACTAGCTGGAGCAAGTCTGCTTGGCGCAGTCGACAATCATCTCGCAGATGGCGTCCTTCAGGTGGTAGTGAAACGGAGTCTCAGGCCGGCGGGCCATGGTGAACGTGCCCAATCGTGGGTTGTAGAGAGGGCGCATGAATTGAACCATGTGGCGCCCGAGAGAAGCAAGCTGATCGTGATCGAGCGCGAGTTCCTTCTCTGCCTCAGACTCGCCCTCAAGCTCAAGCTCAACCTCGGCAAATTGGCGTTCGGCAATGTGGGTGGAGCCAATGGTGGCAAGGGAGGCGTCCTGGTCAGCTGTTGAGGAGTTAGCTAACATATATTGTGAGTAAAATGTGACGGAGGGACGAAATTGGTACAGAAGGGACAGTTAGTGGTGGGAATAGGATCTGAAAATGAGTCATCTTCCTACTCGCCTATTGTTGTGGTGTCATCCGTAGACGAGGAGGAGGAGGAGGAGGAGGACACAGCGAGCTGGAGCAACTTGACCAGTAGCTTATGCTCGGCAGGCTCCAGCGGGAGCACAATATTTCTAAGAAATTGGTCCTCGCCTTGTGCGGGCTTCAGAGTGCCGTCACGGTGCTGCCTCACGACGCGAATGATGCGGAGGATGTTGGTGTTGGTGATGTTCTTAGTGCCTTCGTCTTCGCCGTCGCCGTCGCCGTCGCCGTAACGGGAAGAGCTTTCTTGGGAGTCCACTTTCATTTTTCACGCTGGTTGCCCGGGTTTGGAGTGTATAAGGATAGTGATGGACTAAGCCATCTAAGTTGTTGTCGAGTTGTTGTAAAGCAAAGAAAAGACAAAGCTAGTGGGCACGAAGCCCGCGAGGGGCAAATGTCGACCATGTCGCCGCACCTGAACGTGAACGTGGACATGCGTGTGAACACGTGACACCGACTAAAGCCTCCCGTACTCAAGTCCCTCCCAAAGTCCCGTGTCTGAGACTCTGGGGAACACCAAACTCATCATTCCAGTCTCCCGATTCGTGCCGATATCCTCCGTATGTCAAGCCAAGTCCCTCAAGTCTCAAGCCGAGTAGAATACCTTGGAGAACCAGATCTAATGGGGCGGGTAGCAACAATTTGCTAGGTAGTACCGATAACGAGGCTGGACTACAGAGTGCTCATTTCTCGCCAGCACAGACTGCAGCTGAGACCGGACCCTGCAGAGCTTGGGCCAACGGTTCGACATCGGAAGGGTGTTGACTTGGAGGTGTGGGAGGCATGACGAGAGGCTCGGTTCAGCCGCATCATGCGGGTG